GTGTAAAGGAAAATTATTATATGTATATGTATATATGTGTTTATTTGTGTGTGTGTGTATATATATATATGCACACATATATATATGTATATATATATATATATATATATATATATATATATATATATATATATGTGTGTGTGTGTGTGTATGTATATATATACATATATATATATATATATATATATATATATATATATATATATATATATATGTATGTGTGTGGTGGGCATCAGAAGTTACCTATGGGTTTGACTTTGACGTCCGATTTTATATTTACATACACTATTTTAATATATTAAATAATTTTTTTTTTTTTAATCATTTTTATCTCTGTATATTTGCTCGCTTAAGTTATATTTCAGCATTTATGTCATGAGTCTTAAATATTTATTGGTTGTTGTATCCGATTGTCTGGGTCAATGTATGTGGATGTGTGTGCATGTATTTATTATTGTCTATGTGTAGGAAAGTGCATTCACTTTTAATAGTGTATGTATGTACGTGTGCGTTGGTTTCTTTCCCCTAAACTCCTTTTTTTTTTTTTTATACGATCGTGGTGATGTTCTCTGTCACGTCTCCTTTTTTATGTGTGTATATATATTTAAATATGTCTGGGTGCTTATATATTATAATCTGATTGCGTTTGTTTTACGCGTGAGTTTAGGACCCCATTCACACACTCTTAGAATTAAAATGGATACATTGTCAAAAGACCGGATATAAAACTAGCTAAAGTAACTTCAATGAAGAAATAAATTGAATAACATATATATTTCTTCTTTTCTCCTCAGTAATTTTATAGTTGTAAACTTAATAGCGATTAAATTTTGATCTTTAAATAAGCAGTTTTTAATTTTAATATTAAATTTTATCATATAATTTAGTAATTATTGGTTAGAATAAATTCTTTTTTAATACTAGCCATATTTTAAATATTTGAATAGCTATTATAACATGACTTCGTTGTCAAGCTTTTTGAATTTTCCTATACTTGTATTTTGATTGATAGCTTTTGTAACAACGTTTTCCCCTTGTGAAGGATTGTTAATTAATTCGAAACTTTTAAAACCATTTATTTTACATTCAACATCATCACTTGATAAGACACTGAGTGTGTTGAAACAAAATGGCTATTTTTGTAGTGATTTTATAACATATTTATGTTAGAAAATTTTTAAATAAATAAATATATATATATATATATATATATATATATATATATATATATATATATATATATATATATAAGTTTTGCGTATAAGGCTCCAACAGTGTGTTCCGTCCTTGATTTATGTTATGCCTTCGATGCCTTTTCAAGATAGCTTGAGAACCACACAACATTCCATATATATGGGACGAGGAACATTCAGCTTTTTTGTGAAAGCTAACTACCCCTAAACTGGTATTTAGTGTTTGCTAATGCGCGCCCTTTCAAAAGTTTCATACTGTTTATGCATATATGTCACAAGCGGAAGTCACTTCTTCAAAATACGACTGATATATAATGTTCGATACTATCCTTGGTCTCTATCTTTAATCTGGGGACCTTATTGCCCACGAATAAAAGGGGGACTACTAAATAGGTTTAGATTGTTTGAAAATTATTTCACATGAAACCATTAGTGCGAAGCGTAATCAGCAAATATCCCAGCATCCTCATCGGCCTCTAGTCTTCAAATGAAAGAAATAGCAACGTCGATTTTTATAACATGTTTAACTACGAACGATCAGTCTTTAGAAAAGGTTTTACAAAAATTATCCATTAAAATACTTAGTAAATTCTTAAAAAATTAATTCTAAAAATAAGTTTCATAAAATGATATAATATTTTAAAGTTTTGCAATAAACTCCATCGTAACTCTTAAAAAGGCAATGAATGATTTTTGTGATTTAAACTACGAAAATTATTTCCTTTATTAATTAAAAACCAGAACAGCTTAAATTATAACTATAGAAAAACAAGTAAAAATGTTCGTTTCTGTTTTTGAAATCGATTGATGATGTTATAAATGCCACCAAAACAATATTGACAGAGGCTCTGTTGCTACACTACAAGCAAGTAAATTATGTCCGGATAAACGATGATATGCAAGTAAATTATGTCCGGATAAACGATGGTATTGGATTAAAGCGGAATGCGTAAATTGTGCATTTTTTTAAAAAATTCTCTATTTTTATTTGATAACAGAATGGCGAGTCTGTTCTCCACCTTGCAGCACGAAGTGGCAACACAACATTGGTTGCAACTCTTCTAGAGGAAGATTCCAACCCTACGCAAAAATCAAATGTAACTAAAACTTTCTTATTAATTCGAATTTATTCTGAATTGAGCAACTCTGAAATATATCATAATGTATCAATCAATCAATCCTAATCAATAACCAATCGTTCACTGTAGTTATGAGACTTGCTTATTGATATATACTAAAGTTCGTTTAATACGAAATATAACCAGGTGGAATGACAAAAGGAAGACTTCGTTGCGCCAATCTTCCACGTTAAAATTGAAATTCTGCAATTAAATCTTTTGGCTCTGTATTTTCAGATCCATATCCCACTTAGAATATACGTTTGTCTTCTCTTTCTAATTTTGTTTCACCTTGTGAAGCTAGGAAAAATCAATAATCAGTATGCGATCAATATTTGATTGAAAAACAAGAATGTTTTCGGAATATAAGTAAATATAAATAGGCAAAAGGATTTTCCGCTGTAAAGGGAGTGAAAAACGGAGTGAACGTGTAAAAAAGACAAAATAATTTGGTCGTTTTATAAGAGCAGGCTGGCGTTTGGTGATGTCAGTTATTCTTACAAAGTCGTATTTATTTTCCAACAGACAATGACAGAGTGTGACACAATGTTAGTGTTTATGTGATACACCACACAACATCACTAACTTAAACTTTAAACAAGGTCTTACAAAAATTGAGCAGTTAATCTGGACTTTGCTGCCGACATCTGGATGTACAACTGATCCTTTCTTCATGATACACAGTGCTGTCTGAAGAAAAGATTTTTAGTCATTTGAACTAAGCTTCGTATCGTTCAACTCACAAAAGTGTCCAAGATCGACCAGGCTTTAAGGAGGTTGCAAATTAGTTCATAAAAATACACACTGTCGTATTATCGTCTGCAAAATACGCCTAAAGATCAAAAAGAATATTTGTGATTTTTTCATAAATTTTAACCTTAGGTAAAATTTGTGATAAACTCAGACAAGAGCTGAATAATTCATAGAATTAAGAAAATATTTATTCACAAATTGTAGTAAAATATCAAGAATATATGCTTTCATCCTTTTCATGCTTTTCTTTTTATATTCATTTCATTTTTTTTTCATTCTCTTTCAGTGTGGTGACACGCCACTACATTTGGCGGTCCGTCATTGCCATCGGAGTACTGTAGCTTGCTTATTAAATTTTGTCTTCACTAAAAAATCTCGACAAGAAGGAATCATGTTAGTCAATGAGCGACAATCAGTGAGTATGACTGAAAATTTTGATTGACGTGAAGATTCAACTGAAACAAAGATTAAAAAGAGAATTGAACAAATGCAATATTAAAGAAAATATTCTTAGTTAAATCATGACTTAAAAGATTTCAAGCTATCATATATTTGAAACGAGATTCTCTAAAGTAATTATGCAAACATTATTTGAAAGGATATCTTCTGTTTTTCTAAACATTCAAGTTAACAAAATATTGCGAAACATGGACGAGATAATAGCTATTTTATTGTCATGGGATTGGCCCCGTAATTAAAGATGATATCTTCCCCCCCCACATATATATATATATATATATATTGTCATATATATTGAATCAGACCAGGAAACAATAGTATTAAAAAGTGCTCAATGTACGTCTATATATCGTGGGTGATCATGCTTCTGTCTGTCTGTCTCTCTCTCTATATATATATATATATACATATATATATATATATATTTACTTTTTTATTATTGTAAAAATAACGAAATTGTACATTTAATTGGCAACAGCTAAAGTGCAAAAAATAATCACATAGCAATGACGCAGAAATACACACCTGTTCAGTGGGAGACACATTGGCATCAACTGATGGCCACGTATTTTAAGTTTTCATAGCACAGATTGCATAATACTGTAACTCTTGGTGTAGATTTTACAAGTGAGTGAATCTATTGCTGGTATCGCTTGGAATGGAAATTAATTTGATATTTTGATGTGAAAAGCTTAGATAGTCAAACTAGGTCATTTGAATTATATAAACATATCAGAATTATCCTCGGGTCAGTTTTTCCTACTTAAACTTGGCTGTTAGAAAAGCAAAATAATAGTTAATGACAATAAATTGAATTAATACCGAGAGATACTTTAGTTTGAACTCATTATTTAACAGGGTTTTGACTAGTTGGATCAAGGAAAGGAGTACCCCTACTCTCCGCTAGAAAATTGATAGTTAAAATGAAGCAGACGTCTCAGCTAGATGGCAAACTTCAGTGAAAAAATGTTGCTATTTTTAATACTACCCTTCAATTCTGTCTTGGTTGGTTACATAATTCGGCTGACCCTCTTGGTATGAGGCCAGATGATGAAGACTGATCCTGTTACTATACACTATGTAAACCGACTTGTAACCCAACACCTGAAAGAAATGTGTTTCCCATAAATACAGTGCCTACCGAGATGCGGGTGTCGTGCACAAAATAAGCAGTCGGATGTAGCAGTCGTACCAAAATACCCAGGCAATTGAAATATTGCAGATAATCAATTAGCATTAATTTAACATTACCACCGTTCTCCATTGCTTGCGCCATTATCTTAGAAGAATTTGTTTTTAACTGAAGAAATTTCCCTCAGCCCAAGAAGTTTTCGTTTGTAAATCGACGATCAAGTGGAAGAATCGGAGACTACATTTGAGATACCATTTTTTTTCTGTAGGCCTGATACCAAAGTTCCCTAACTGAATTGTTGAACCGACTATCAGTCACCACCTCGGGATATTATTCTTGTTTCTGTGATTGTAAATAATTCACAAACCGAAAGTCGTAGTTAGGTAAGCCACATCTTTGCAGAATGAAAAAAAAAAGTTTCAATTGACTACGATAACCTTAAAAAAATAAATAAATTCTGTTTCTTGAGTCGGTTGTCTGTTGCTTCTTTCTTCATCCTCCTTCTAACCCATCCTCTTCGTTCCTGAAGATGTTTTAACCTGTTAAGACTTCCAAAAACTTAAACACGAGTGAGGGATGAACTGTTGGAGTGATGCACTCAGTGGCACGAACATAAGTCGCGTTATACTTCGTAGATCAAAGAATGTGTCTCATTTCACAGTACTGGAAGGCTGGTGAATGCTACATAAACTTTTACTAAAGATAACAAAGACGAGGAAATTGATCCACGTAAATCAATGATTCATTATTACAGTCACTCATAATTTGTACACTACTAACTCAGTTAAACAAAGATGATTCTAGAATGCAGCCTTTAATAGAATCTTTAAAAATGAAACTAATATCCAAGTTAAATATCGATATTTTTTACAACATTGCCGTCCTTCAACTCATCAATACTCTTTCTTCTGTCGTCTCTTCTCTCCTTCAACAATTAAAATAAGTGATTTTAAATAAAAAAAAAACATCACACGTAGTGTGTTAACCAATCTGTATTGATGACAAATATAAATTAAACTGACCCTCTACTATTTTTTAACAAAGACAACAATAAGAGAAATAATCAAATAGGCAGATATTTGTTTTAACAAATATTATTTTTTGTATCACACGATATAATAAAGTTGTTTAAAAGACTTAAGAGTTCTTGGTTGTGTGATCAAGGCTAATATAAAAGGTGTTATGCCATAGATCTGGTAAAGAATTAAACAGTTTATGTTGATGGTGAAATTGAATGAAATAGATTGCTTCACTTACTGTAGAGTTGTCTCTCTTCAAGTGATATAGTTACGATTTCCTTTATGTTATGATATTGAGTGAGTTGATTTCTGAGTCTTGTCTTAGTTGAATTCATAACGAGAGATGAGTTGATGTTGAAAAGAAATTAAATTCCAGAAGCCGGGTTGATGTTAATAAAAATTAACTTTTAGCGAGGAATTTGGGTTTCATGGATTCGTGTGACGAGTTGATTATTTTAAGGACTCACTCACTAAGTCGTGTCGAAGTTTCATATTTATGAATTTTCTTGATCATGTGGGAGGCACGAAAGAATGTTTATTAATTTTTGGCGCGTTAAACTCTGAACAGGTCATCTCGAGATCAACCGTACGGACGAAGGCAGAAACATGTCATTATTAATTATGAACCAATCAGAAAGCATTGTTTTGTACTGAAATTTGGAGCTGATCTTAATGGGTTCAGCACAAACTGAGAATACTTACCTGTGATCTTCTTTTAACGTGTTTAAAATAGAGAATGTAGAAATCTAATTCTACACACTTCAACAAATTACTCTTTCAATTTACATCATCCCGAATGTAATAGTATTCGAAAATTTTACATAGCAACAGAAAGCCTCAACTAATTGATCTTTTGTTTGTATGTTCAGTACCGCAATAAACACAAAACAGGCAGCAAGATTTTTGCTTGAACAAACGACTTGAAAAGTAAGATAATTATCAGTCCTATATGCAAAATAATAATAATTGTATGGCGTTAGTAACGATACATATTTTTATATTTATGTTTGTGAGTTAAAAAAAAAAAATAGAAAAGAAAATATGAATATTGATAATTGTTGCTTAAAACAATAATATACACGAAATATTGATAACTTTCTTTTTTGACAATATATATATATATATATATATATATATATATATATATTACAAAATATGTTTAGAATAGAAATAATTTTTAAAGAAAATAAATGTAACATTATTTCGCAAGTGCCATTATTTTATTAATATTTTCCTTTCCTTTTCTTTTCTTCTTCCAACACATTATAACAATTGGTAACTTTAGTAAATTGGAGACCAAATCACAATTTCATCAATAAATGCTCCAACCTGTCATTTAAAGATGACTGATAATAATAAGCTAACCCCACGGAAGCAAGAATCATTTATTGACATGGTGTCAGATTGCCAAAAGACTACGCAATGATAAACTAACAAAGAACGGAGATAAAATTGAATATTTATATGCATTCTTTCTAGTGTAAATAGAGTTTATTATTTTACTTGTGGTTTACTCCTCACCCAATACACGAAACACAAAAAAGACATTTAATATCGAGCTTTTAAAAACAAAATTTAATAAATAAAACTTGCATCATTATTGCCTCGCCAGAGAACAGTGGTTATTAATTAATAATCTATTAATGGAGTTTGATTCTCACCGGGTGAGCCACTATTAAAAGGCTTGTTATCTTCTTAATTCTTGTTCTTTTATTGTCCTCTACCATAAATAATTGTTTTTTTTCATATTCTCTAACACTCAGTAACCCCTTGCATCCTAGTGGCTTTATTGCCTTGCTTGGGACGAAATAATCAAGAATGAATTCGCTGCATGTTTTTCTCCGGTGCCATGGTTCAGTGTACGAATCCAGATAAAAACACGAATTTCGAATCTTGATTAACAAAGGAGACACGTTAGCATTTCACACTTAGAATATTGGTGCTGCACAGTCTTTCTACTTCCATTAATTCTAGTGTTGCTCGAGTTCAGAAAGTAATAATGACTATAAAACCTCTTTTGACCCGCAGGCGCCATCTTTTAAGAGGAATGTGGGACTGATATCTGAAGTGAATTTCTTTCGGCAAATTTGAGGTGAAATTACTCGGATTTGTTAACTAGACATTGAGTTTAAAGTGTCCTTTAAAATATCTAGAAACAGAGTTGACCTGAGATGACCCCCTAGACGAGGGTGGAGATTCCTACCATGTCAGTAGTGACCCCAATAGGGGAATACGTGTCGGCCTGGCTGCGCTTGATATGTGCGGTTGACAAGTAAATTTATAAACACAAGAGGTAACAGGAATAGACTCCCAGACATGGCCCACAAGAATGTATGGTCCACGTTGAGATGAGGTCCCGGAGTTCCTCAAACTTACTTGCCATCGGAATGTAATATTACATTTGATAGATTCAAGCTTTGTGTTTTCATTAGTCTGAAGCTATACCTTCATTAAATTTCTAAAAACTATGAATGAAAAATACTGCTTCGTTAATAAGAATTTTTTTGTTTTATTTCGTATTCCAGGAAGGAGAAACAGCTTTGCATTATGTTGCTGATTTGGAGCCAAATAAAGGCGAGGATATGTATGAGTATTCGGACATTGCAAAATTATTACTTGAATATTATGCAGATGCAAGTTCTGTTACTTACCTGGTATGTACAATTCCTTTTTTTATTTATCGAGTAGAATTCTTGTATATTTAAACCTACCTGTTAAGAGAAACTCAGATAGGAAAAGATGTTAATCCCTTCTTCTCTCAAATTTAATAATTACTGTTTACCTTTTGTCCTTCTTTTCATAACTTTATTTATAGTCACACACTTACATAAAAACACAGGAACAGGCATGTAAACACACACACGTAAAGACAAGCGTATAAGCATACATAAATATAAATAAAGACACACATAAATATACACATATACAGAACACACATAAAGTCAAGTATACACACAGAAACACGCTCACAACATTCTGATCATCATTATCTGGCAATTCATCAGTGGATCAAAAGGTGTCTTCGCAAATCAAATTTAGATGCGTAAAGTCTGGAGTAGTGGGGACACTGGAAGTCGGGGTTGTGAACAAAATTAAAGATGCACGGTAGTGCTGTTCAGGGACAGCGATAGGGACTCACCCACTACCGAAACTTTGATACGGGGCCTCCTTCTCTACTACATGTCAATTTCAAAGTTTCCCAACCTGCGGGCTAAAACCCCTGGAAAGAAAACTGAGAGTGGGGATAGCGCTTTTTTTATAAATCAGGAAATTATTCAACTTAAATGAAAATTTCAGTACATATTTATTATTTACTTTTATAATGAATAGTTTGTGTATTTTAAAAAAATCTGAGAAAATTTTATTCTTTTAGTAATAATCACCAATATTTTCATGTCTAAATTTTACTTGAAAAAAAATGTTTAAGTCGCAAATTTTTACTTTTCCATAAAGATTAATCGCCGACGCATCCCTGCTGAAAAAAAAGTTTTACAAAAAATTCCAGCACAACACAAACGGAATTGTCTTAAAAATTTGTTTTAAAAACAGTATTTCAGTTTTCGGGAAAATGTTTCATGCATTGAAATATTTAAATATTTTTTTTTTATTTTTTAAGCGATCATTTTCTCGATTTTATCTTTCTAGAAATGTAAAAAATAAGGACTAGAAATTTTATTTATTTTATTTAGTCGTAGACATCTTGTTAGTATTATTACTAGTAAAAAAAAAAAATCAGAGCTCCTCCTTAGTGGATGATCACAGAATAAAAAAATGATTTTACCGAGATATTTACCCTCTTAATTGATTTAAAAAAAAAAACTGCCCAGAAAGAAAATTACAATTTAAAAAAATAAGCGCTAATGAAATTAGCACTGCTGATCGCCCCCTACCCTGTAGACATTGGGGTTCCCACGCAGTTGAGAGGTTCAGGGTATTAAGCACCGGCCCTGTCGATGATTGACAATATAACTTAAGTAGAAAAAAAAAGAAAAATATACAAAACCCAAAAACCCGGCTGAAACTAGTCTTTTTGCGGTTCTAATCTCGTCGTCGGGGGATCCGGCCTAGTAGGCACCACACCGATGTATATTATTAGTTGTTGACTGACAATGTAACGTCAGTTTAAAAATATTTTTTTAAAAAATGGCGGATGACCATAAAACAATGCTGAAAAAAATGGCAGAGGTCACAATGGGGCCAAAAGAAAACGCGCTCCACCCCCGGTCGGGGGTTTCGCAGGTAAGACGCGAAAGACCATTTCCTGGGACACTTTTAGTTTCGTTGACGGGAAACGTATGTTATGTCAGTCTAGCACTCTCAGTACTTGACTTGCTTTTCTGATCAGTGCGTAGATTTCTTTGTTCAATGAACCATCGCAGAAAATCGTGCTACCCAGGTATTCGAAAGTATCAATGTTTGCAAGCTGTGTGTCATCTATGGCGTTGGCCAGTGCAGGAAGTTGATGTTTGGGGCAGGTTGATCAAGACCTTCAGTCTTGTCAAGCCAGTCCAAGAATTTTTGAAGCCAGAAAGATTCGATCAAGCATTAGTTAGAGTTTAGATTATCCTAGTCATAAGGTCGCAATCAGCGAAGAGGGTTTACTGGAAGAGACGTTGAAGAATATTTGTTTTGGCATCGAGACGACGAAAATAACAAAAAGCAAGTCACAGAGACGATATTGTTTCACGCCTTTGCTCAGTTCATGATTTAAAACTTTAAAACTTGAAACTTGAATTAATATTATTGCTTTATATTATTTGCTTTATCTGAAGATCACTTGACAGAAAGTCTCCTCTATACTCTAGAACTTGAGGCTCTAAGTAGAGGACCCAAATATTAGATGATCAATAGTTTTCTCAGCATTTGCACAAAACCGGCATTTTAAATCAATCCCATTCATTAAAATATGTTTTCCTAATAGCATCTTGTTGCCAGTTTTTGATCTTGATTGGCGAGGATGAATTCGTCTTTTGCTGGTTGCAACTCAAAGTTCCACCCATAACCACTGATTGTCAATATCAGGATCTCTTGTGCTCACAACGGGTAACAGCCATATAAGCGTTCTTTTCCCATTTGGTTATCAGGTTAATTAGGTCTTTATTTGCTTTTTATACGAGATGTCTAGCTTTTACATTGATGACTATCACTAGAGATCAAACAACCAAGTCTTCTCAATGCTACAGCAATTCTGTTGTTCTTATTAAAAATTATTAATCTCAACTTATCCCAAGTTCTTTTTAAGTAAAGGAAGATTTTTTGAAAGTTATTGAAAAATCATCCTTTACCCAAGTTCTCTGTCAAAAGTCTTGGTAAAGAAATGTATGTGTGAGTCTCTTGCATCCCATTAAGGGCACCATATGTATTGCAACCATGACAACAATGGAGTGTCTTGAGCAGCACCTGACGGAGCACACCAGTCTTCAAGGGGGACAGGGAGAAGAAGTGGATTCATGTCTTTCCCAAGCAATTTCTCTTTTTGAGTCGCTAACCGTTACACTACTTACACATTCAAAAAGATTGTATCAAACAATAAATCGGGACAAATTAATAATAATAATAATAATAATAATAATAATAAACAGACAGGTAAACACTAAATTAACCACCAAAAAATCAAAAAGCACAAAAAAGGAGAGTTGCTTTCTTATTCAAAACAAATCAAATTACAAAGATCTGAGTAATGGAAATTGCATGAACGTGACGCATGACATATTTGCATCTGATTTAGAAAAGGTTTTCATAGACTCATTAAAGGAATTCAGGGCAGCCAATGTCTAGGAAATACAAAAAACAATGTTCCTCCATGTGCAGCTCACATTATTCAGTGGCTTTACTATGTGAAAGGTCTTACCAACGACTGATGAAGTCTGATTTCTCTTGATTGTACAGCATGCACTCAGTTTTGATGTGTTTAATGTACAGTCCAATTTGTTTGACATCATGTACAAAATCATTCTGTATAATTGCTAAGCATTATTGGGAAAGATAGTGGAGTACTTTGCTGTATTTTTCCCTATGGTTTCAATGCAGAGTTTTCATTCTCTTAGATTAGTTGCCACCCAAAACTAAAACTATTTTCTCTTGTGTCTTCCGTTTTACCATCTTTTCATCTGTTTCCCCCTCTTTCTTTCTCGCTTTCTCTCTCTCTCTCTTTCTCTCTCTCTCTCTCCAACCTCCTTTCTTTACATTTTTTCCACTTTCTCTCTTTTTCTATCTCTCTTTTTCATCACCTTTTCTCTTAGTTCTCTCTTTCTCCTTTGTCTTTCTTATTCCCTAATCTAATAATTTCAAAATTGATTCTTTATCGACGGAATTAGCAAAATTAGGGCAAAATATTCCTTACGTATTTAAGAAATAGATAAGTTTACAAAACTAAATGCTTACATTGAATTGTAATTGTAATGATACAAAATCTTAACAAATTTCTTAATATTCAAGCAATTTTCTATAGAAATATTATTTGAATTATATATATATATATATATATATATATATGGTTGTACTGATGTGAGTTTGTGACCCTGGGTTTCACGCTTTTGCGATCGTCAGACAAATAGTAGTTTGAACTAAAAAGTGATTGATGGTGTTTGTTGTTTTTTTTATCCGTTGGGTATAAATTCGGATAGCAGGTACTTATTCTCATGCCTACATTTGGAGATAATCTCTGATCTTTTGTTAAGTAAATTCTTTTGTGGGGTATGGGATATTATTGCACGCATATAGATACATATGTCAAGTCCCATACTGTCCACATGTTTATGTTTGTATGAGACCCGGCGGACGTGCCTTAACCGATCGGGCCACAGAGAAGCGTTCGGTTAGCAAGGTCGATTTTACTGTATTTAAACACACTTCTCCATGATTTTCTCTCATTCATTCATATCTGCTCAATGCGTATCCAAATGTAAATAAATGATGCCACACTTTAGTCCAACAATTATTTTTAAGACATTTTTTATGTTTATACGTTTTTTTATAGATACAAATATTTAAGTAAATCCTCTGTTTATAATAAACAGTATTAATAACATTTACCGGCCTGAATGTGCGATATATATATATATATATATATATATATATAAATTTGGTATATTTATCGGGAAAGAGTACAACATATAGGAGATATATCGTTCATAGATATAAACAGTGTGGAGATAATAATCAACCGAGACTTGTTCTGAAGATCACATTGAAGCGTGAAACCGACAGTCACCATGCAGTTTTGATAACAATGTCTACACTGCCTATATTTACAAACGCTTTGTTTCTGATATTGTAGAATAAATATGTGCGTGAGAGAGAGAGAATGATATGTAAAAGTTTTGACTAATGATATATTCCACTGAAGCGTAGTTAATTTCGAACACTAATAGTTATTAGGGATGTGAAAAACGTTCCCGCGTCTTCTTTGAAAAATGCAAACTATATACGACAGTTGATAACCATTTTTCTTTACTTTTCTTTTCATATAGAATGCTCGAAACTATTAGTAGGTTATATTTATCTAATACTAGCAGTAGAGCCCGGCGTTGCCCGGGGATATAACAGTAAGAGATAGATCAAGTATCGACTATCATAAAGACTGAAAAATAAAATTGACAAAGATTATTGCTTAAGGTTGATGGATACGCATGTCTTAATTAGGAATTGGTCAAACCCAAACTCAAACAAAAACATTGTTTTCAATCGTTATGAGTCTATCTAGTGAATAGAATTTTATTAAAAACAATTGTCTTGTAAATGGAATTTTTAAAGCATTCTGAATGTAAAAATAAAGAAAAAGTGTGCAAGACAATAAGAAACACTACCTGCCAAAAAAAAGTTTTGTTGAAATCGGTTGAAAAATGTAGGAAATCCGATCCCATATATAAACGAACACACACACACACACGCGCGCGCGCGCGCGCACAAACAACCCGGGTTTTCATAATAAGTATAACTCGATATGAGTTCCAATTTTTGGCGCTGTCAGAACCACCGCAAGGTAATTTTATGTAGTCCTGTGAAGTTTTGTTGAAATCGGTTGAAAAATCTAGGAAATCCGATCCAATATATACGTACAGACACACACACAATCTGCGTTTTATAATAAGTAAGATGATGCTATATTTATCGTATGTGTAAACTTATGTCTTTATCTCAAATTCATACTAAGAAATGAATTAATTTTTTATGTTGCTTTTTTTGTCGCAGACGAATGAATCGGCATTTCATTTTGCGGCACGATCAGGAAATGCAAATGTTTTGCTTGAAATGACGCGGCATATCAATCCTTCAATGTTGAGAAAATTGATCAACAAAGAATCTGCAGTAAGTACGTCTTTTTTTTTTTAATGCCATGTCCTTTCAAGACTCTCAAGGTAATCACAACTCTACACATTCATTATCTGTATAATTGAGTTTTCATTCTCTTCGATTGGTTGCCATCCAAAGTTAAAACTATTTTCTCTTGTTTCTTCTGTTTTTTCATCTTTTTCACCCTCTTTTTCTCTCTTTATCTCTCCCACCTCCTTTCATTCATTTTTTTGTCCACTTTCTCTCTTTTTCTTTCTCTCTTTTTCATCACCTTTTCTCTTAGTTTTCTCTTTCTCCTTTGTCTTTATCATTCCCAACTCTATCTCATTCATATTCTCTCAATAGAGTCGTCATTATGAAATTGCTGCCTCATCTGGACTGGAACTACACAATTCCCAGCATCCCGCTTCGACAGAATTCAAAAGCGTTCGCGCGGCCTTGTGGGCGATTAATTGTTTTGAACCCTATATCCACCCCCACCCATACTTTCCAAAAGATGAACCATTGCTAACCTCCAGGTACTCTATCGCTATGTTCATTGTTGCTGTTCGGACGAACTATAATCCTTGGTTCCACCCGTGCAGACCTGCACAGCTAGAAACCGCCATGCTACATAAACAGACTCCATTCATCTTCATTCCTTTCATATTCCATTGATGAAACGGAAGTTCCACTCAGACAAACTCTTCCTTAGAACTGCAATTCATTATGGAATTGACACCTAAGAAGAAGCTTCTCCGATCACTATAATCTTAGCTTCTTTAATTCGAGGGTCAACCGTTATATATCCCACATATCCTCATAATATGCACCTATTGATCCTTGTACGCCTTTACAAGAATTTTTAGCGAACAAGAATTTATAATAAAAAACAGGCTCCGGATGAATCTAAAATTTTCTAAAAGTTTTTAAATATTCCTTTTACGAAAGAAAAAGTTTGTTGAACAAATTCTGAAAGTGAGCCTCCAAAATTTAATTCTAAGATATTTTACCGCCTGCCAATTTAAAGAATACTGCGCATCTCGTACGACGTCGCTGGTTGGTTAATAATATATGAATACAAAAATGAATATCATTGGAGCCTGTCAATGTACAAAAATTGAGTTACTTTCTGTGAACCGACAATTGTACAAAAAAAAATGAGTTTTCAGTGTCAATGCTTAAATCTATTAGAATTTTTTTCAATTCCGAAACGGGTTCCACAAATATGTGTGTGTGTGTGTGTGTGTGTGTGTGTGTTGATGTTATAGGAAAGAACAGTTATATTAATGATCCAAAGTTCTTTAATACAGAAGTAGAGCTTAAATTAAATTTTTAAAAATTAGTAATTTATAAATGTATAGAAAATTTTTACAATAGAAATTAAATCCTAAAATATATATTAAAAAATTCCGCAATACCATATATAAGTAATTACACAAAACCATATACTATCTATTAGCAAATTAAATTAATTTCAGACACGTATAAAACTAAAGAATTAAAAATAGAACCCAATCATATCTAAGCAGACATTTAAGAAACCATCAACGAAAAAAAAAAAAAAAAATGAATTAACCCCAAAAAGACTGTAACATTAGTTAGTAAGTTTTAACAAATTGTAATAAAAACAAGAGCCTGGGAAAAAAAGGCAGACAAAAATCCCCTAATCGAACAATACGCGATTCAAAAAAAAATCCCTGTAAAAACATTCATACTTTCATCACAGTATTGACCCCTTGATAACGAAAGAAAAAAACCCAGATTACATCTCCCTACCCAAACTATAAATGGGTAAAACATTTCTTCAGTTAATTATTCTTTTAGTTTTGTTTCGAAACAGTAATTTCTGTGCCACGATGGAATCATATTTTTTTTTAAAAAATAATTATATATATATATATATATAGAGAGAGAGAGAGAGAGAGAGAAATAGGGGGCAGTTCTTCGAAGCGACAAGTTAGGTGGATTTGTTTTTGAAGTTACCTTTTTCTAAACTTTGCCTAAAGAAGCTAGACCTACAAGGTAGTTTGAATTCAGTGTTTTCCTTCTCCTAGACTGGTTGCTGGTATAGGGTCCTGTCTGTCCTGATATTTACCCATAGCTGGATTCAGGGTATTAGTACGTAAGTGAATGCAATGAACTCGACTGGAATTCGAACTCGGTTCTCCGATTCCGCTGTCTATTACTCTACCATGCTTTTCTCTTTTTTTTCTCTCTCTCATAGACCATTGCTGTTGTGCAATGAAGTCGATCGTCAGAGAAACAACCAGTGTCAGATGAACTTAACCGCAATAGGTAACAATAAATGTGTGTGTGCATGTGCGCGTGTGTGTGTGCACGAGCGCGCAACTAATTTTGTGACGATGGTAACAATGCTTTACAGAAAGCCTCTTTATCAGTAAATAGCTAACAATATCCGCAGGTTTTTTGATTCCCTGTTCCAGTCTGGGAATATAAAATTTATGCAGAATCACCCATAAGTCAAGCCAAGTTTGCTAAAGTTATGTTAATGGTAAACCTTGATATTTGTATTATTTTATGATTTTTACAAATGTATTTGAGCCAAACTGTGATGTCAGATTGTGTGGCTTAATATTTTCTCTATTGTAGAACGGTTGGTCACCACTATTCGTAGCAAGCGAGAAAGGAAAAAAAGAAATTGTAAATATCTTGCTGAAAAATCAGGCTCGAGTTGACGTATTTGATGAGGTAAGATGCATATTACCAATTCCTGTGAATGTGACGTTATTATTGACTTTTCCAAAAAAAATTGATGAAATGCGTTTAATTGAAGATAATGACAAAAAATAATCCTGACGAGAATTCGAACTACAAAGTAATTGTTTCCATCAATTTGTCCGACTATCTTCATTATCTTAAATTCATTAATAGATGAATTATTGTGAATATTCGTTATCTTAAATTTATTATTAGATGAATTATTGTAAATATTTGTTATCATAAATTTATTATTAGATGAATCATTGTGAATGTTCTTTATCTTAAATTTATTATTAGATGAATCATTGTGAATGTTCGTTATCTTAAATTTATTATTAGATGAATCATTGTGATAGTTCGTTATCTTAAATTTATTATTAGATGAATTATTGTGAATATTCGTTATCTTAAATTTATTATTAGATGAATTATTGTGAATATTCATTATATTAAATTTATTATTATATTAATCATTGTGAATGTTCCTTATCTTAAATTTATTATTATATTGATTATTGTGAATATTCGTTATCTTAAATTTATTATTAGATGAATCATAGTGAATATTCATTATCTTAAATTTATTATTAGATGAATCATTGTGATTGTTCGTTATCTTGAATTTATTATTAGATGAATTATTGCGAATATTCTTATCTTAAATTTATTATTAGATGAATTATTGTAAATATTCCTTATCTTAAATTTATTATTAGATGAATTATTGTGAATGTTCGTTATCTTAAATTTATTATTAGATGAATTATTGTGAATGTTTGTTATCTTAAATTTATTATTAGATGAATTATTGTGAATATTCGTTATCTTGAATTTATTATTAGATGAATTATTGTGAATATTCTTAAGTTAATTATTAGATGTATTATTGTGAATATTCGTTATAAATTTATTATTAGATGAATTATTGCGAATATTCGTTATCATAAATTTATTATTAGATGAATTATTGCGAATATTTGTTATCTTAAATTTATTATTAGATGAATTATTGTGAATGTTCGCTATTTTAAATTTATTATTAGATGAATTATTGTGAATATTCGTTATCTTAAATTCATTATTAGATGAATTATTGCGAATATTCGTTATCATAAATTTATTATTAGATGAATTATTGCGAATATTCGTTATCATAAATTTATTATTAGATGAATTATTGTGAATGTTCGCTATTTTAAATTTATTATTAGATGAATTATTTTGAATATTCGTTATCATAAATTTATTATTAGATGAATTATTGTGAATATTCGTTATCTTAAATTTATTATAAAGATGAATTATTGTGAATATTCGTTATCTTGAATTTATTATTAGATGAATTATTGCGAATATTCTTATCTTAAATTTATTATTAGATGAATTATTGTAAATATTCCTTATCTTAAATTTATTATTAGATGAATTATTGTGAATGTTCGTTATCTTGAATTTATTATTAGATGAATTATTGTGAATATTCTTATCTTAAGTTAATTATTAGATGTATTATTGTGAATATTCGTTATGAATTTATTATTAGATGAATTATTGCGAATATTCGTTATCATAAATTTATTATTAGATGAATTATTGCGAATATTTGTTATCTTAAATTTATTATTAGATGAATTATTGTGAATGTTCGCTATTTTAAATTTATTATTAGGTGAATTATTGTGAATATTCGTTATCTTAAATTTATTATTAGATGAATTATTGTGAATGTTCGCTATTTTAAATTTATTATTAGATGAATTATTGTGAATATTCGTTATCATAAATTTATTATTAGATGAATTATTGTGAATATTCGTTATCTTAAATTTATTATAAAGATGAATTATTGTGAATATTCGTTATCTTAAATTTATTATAAAGATGAATCATTGTGATGGATCGTTATCTTAAACTTATGAATAGATGAATTATTGTGAATATTCAATATCTTAAATTTATTATTAGATGAATTATTGTGAATGTTCGTTATCTTAAATTTATTATTAGATGAATCACTGTGAATATTCGTTATCTTAAATTTATTAGATGAATCATTGTGATTGTTCCTTTTCTTAAATTTATTATTAGATGTATTTTTGTGAATATTCGTTATCATCAATTTATTATTAGATGAATTATTGTGAATATTCGTTATCTTAAATTTATTATTAGATGAATTATTGTGAATATTCGATTTCATAAATTTATTATTAGATGAATTATTGTGAATATTCGTTATCATAAATTTATTATTAGCTGAATTATTGTGAATATTCGTTATCTTAAATTTATTATAAAGATGAATCATTGTGATGGATCGTTATCTTAAACTTATGAATAGATGAATTATTGTGAATATTCGATATCTTAAATTTATTATTAGATGAATTATTGTGAATGTTCGTTATCTTAAATTTATTATTAGATGAATCACTGTGAATATTCGTTATCTTAAATTTATTAGATGAATCATTGTGATTGTTCCTTTTCTTAAATTTATTATTAGATGTATTTTTGTGAATATTCGTTATCTTAAATTTATTATTAGATGAATTATTGTGAATATTCGTTATCTTAAATTTATTATTAGATGAATTATTGTGAATATTCGATTTCATAAATTTATTATTAGATGAATTATTGTGAATATTCGTTATCATAAATTTATTATTCGATGAATTATTGCGAATATTCGTTATCTTAAATTTATTATTAGATGAATTATTGCGAATATTCGTTATCTTAAATTTATTATTAGATGAATTATTGTGAATATTCGTTATCATAAATTTATTATTAGATGAATTATTGTGAATATTCGTTATCTTAAATTTATTATAAATATGAATTATTGTGAATATTCATTATCTTAAATTTATTATTAGATGAATTATTGTGAATATTCGTTATCTTAAATTTATTATTAGATGAATTATTGTGAATATTCGTTATCATAAATTTATTATTAGATGAATTATTGTGAATATTCGTTGTCTTAAATTTTTTATAAATATGAATTATTGTGAATATTCGTTATCTTAAATTTATTATAAAGATGAATCATTGTGATGGATCGTTATCTTAAATTTATTATTAGATGAATTATTGCGAATGTTCGTGATCTTAAATTTATTATTAGATGAATCATTGTGAATGTTTGTTATCTTAAATTTATTATTAGATGAATCATTGTGATTTTTCGTTATCTTAACCTGACTAAAAAGATCTACCGCCCCTTAAAAGCGACTTTTGAAGATCTAATTTTGAAGCTAATTTTAAGGGGGTCACATCATACACGACATATAAAATTAGCGTATGTACTTCTGATTTTGACTACGTCGTTGACCAAACTATATCTATCTCTTTTTGATAAAACTGATGTTTTAATTGACTTTATCTAATAATAATGCAAGTAATATTCACATATTAGTACCGTATTATAAAATACAAGCATAACGAATATGTATCGTTTCCATTGTTTACGTTTCTAAGATTTTTTGCTGTTTCTCGTTCAGGTTTTTATGGCTGTAAACGTTTACGCAGCGAGCATAGCGTTATTAACGATACTTTTATTATTCTCTTTTACTTTTTAACTTATTTAAATAAAAGGTGGGATAAAGAGATAGAGGAAAAGAGGTTAGCATATTGAAATTTGATCTCTCAAAAGAAAGGAACATGATGCACGAGCTACATGATAAAAATCATTTTATAAGTGAAAATTTATGTTACAAGATTATATATATATATATATATATATATATATATATATATATATATATATATATATATATATATATATATATATATATATATATATATATAATGTATATAATGGTGCATCCTAAATTTCCATAAACCTGTTCTATCAAAGCAGGTAGTCTTTAGGAAGCTATTCTGTTTATTTATTTTTTCAATCTTTATAGTATTAAAAACAATTAAACCATTTTGTTAATTTAATATAAAATATTTATAAAGATATTTCAACAGTGAAATTCTGTTCTCATCATATTTCTGTTCAGATGTATGATGCATTTTGCCATCAACTGTGTTCTGGTTTCGTAGCCACATTTGAAATGAATCGCTGCAGTCCCATAGATACAATGGAAGACCTATCAAAATTATACTCACAAGATTTTCCACATTTTTGACACGAGGCTCACGCACGATGGTAACCTAACTAACATTTTATCTAGACCATCGGCTATTAATATATAAGATTATTTTCGGATAATCCAAAACCGTTTCGCTAAGCTTTTATAATTTTAAGAATCGGTTCACGCGAGCTGCTAAGATGCCACCGCTATATATATATATATATATATATATATATATATATATATATATATATATATATATATATAGTTCTGTGAGGAAGCACAAAGTCCAAAACAGTTTTTATCATGCTCTTCATCAGTACTCTAGTTGGTGACATTTGGTGGTTGGAGGAGTCGAATTGTAGGACAACAGTAATCGACTCCATATTAACTTGATTGAATTTCTCTCATGACTCAGCGCATTCTTTCTTGACAACGTGCATTGACCTTTTCTGCTAAGTTATTAGATACTTCAGATCTCTGATCATGTGTTTTTATTCCATGTCTAGAAATTTAGAAAAACTGAAATTCCACACTAATGATAGCAGGAATATTGTCTGAAACAATTATCTCTGTAATTCCGTTTGTCGAAAAACGTCTTTATAGATTTCAATAGTTGAAGTTGCAGTAGCTGAATTATATATATCATCAATGATTCCATGTCAATATGTCGGTTTATCGAGATATGAAGAAAAAATAACTCAACCACCTCTACCCTCTCTAACATTTAATTGGCTAATCCAGATATAGCCAGAAGTCTATTTTTAATTTCTGACCTTACACAACTCCTTTAATTTTAGGAATTGTTTTTAAATTTCCCTAAGAAATCATTTTATAACCAGTTGCCTGAGGAAGTACAATCATAGTACTGAAACATGACAGCTTTTGTATAGCGATTTAAAAATGTTTTATTATAACTTCTTATAATAAAAATATAATAACACACACTTACACTCACTCACTCACACACACACACACACACACATATATATATATATATATATATATATATATTATGTCCATTCGCTATAGGCGTTAGTAATTACCAGGGACATGTGTCTTTAGAATGAACCACCATAGGTTATATGCAATCTAGTTTAGTCTTTCTCTGGAATATTCCACAGATGTAAAAGGCATCGAACTCTTGGTTTGGCATTCACAAGTTTCCTGGCATTAAATTCAAAGTTCTTCTCCTGATTAGGTTGCAAAATTAATTTTTTTCTAATTGTTTCTGGGTTTTCCATAAGAGTTGTTTCTGTCCCCGCAATAATGGAATAGTGAAATAATTCTCATGCCTACAATATAAAATGTTTTACTAACACCAGTTCACGTCACCTTGCAAAATAGGGATACCATTCTTCTGAATTAGGTCATTTATCCGGCCATCAATTGAATGTACAACAGCACTTATTTGAGAATTGGTATCCTTCCTTGCTTATCTTGCAGTTTCTTGGTACGTTACTGAAGTTTAATAAGCATAATAATTTTCTCTGGCATTGGAACGTTCTTAATGTTGGTCGTCTGTAGCAAGCATAGTAGACAGTCAGTCTTCCTATTTTGTTTACCTTCCCAATATACAAGTTGGCAGATCTAAGCAGATAATATTACAGCCCACATCTCTAAATCCTTACAGAGCAGATTTCAGGAATTCTTTTATTGTCTTTGAAATATTCCCAAAAGGGTTTTTATGGTCAGTTTATAATTTGAAATGCCGATCAAAGAATATTGGTGAAATCAAACGTTGCCGCCTCTTTGTCAATTTAAGCATATTGTTTTTCACCCAGTGCAAGATAACTTTAAGTCAAAACGCCTCTCAGACCCATCTTCCATGACATGATACAACACTGCCCCTAGCCAATATGGAGACGTATTACAAGCGACAGATGCTTACTTTTGGGGATAAAAATGAACTAATTATTTGTTAGAGTTCTAGGAATCATTTGCCGTCTTCCATGCTAGTTCCTCTTTTGAAAATCACTTCCATTTTGATTCCTTTCCTAGCAGCTAATGAAGAGGTGCTAAAATATATTCAAATATTATCTTTAAAGGTTTCTCATGTTTTCGTTTAGCACGGAAAAGCTGCCTTACATCTTGCAGCCGAGAACGGGCATGAAGAAGTTGCGGATATGTTACTCAAGAGTAAGGCATTTGTCAATGCTAAATCGAAACTTGGTATAACTCCATTGCATTTAGCCGCACAGAATGGCTACACCAAATTGGTCAAACTTCTTATTGAAAAGCATAATGCTTCCATTGATGCTTTGACATTGGTAAGTATAGAGAATTAGATTGAATAGACTTGTTATAAAATGATAATTAACGAAATCAACACGATATTTCACTCTGAGGCTAATTAATTGCCTCAGCATAAAGTTTAACTGTTCATGATTATTTCTGTTTGAATTTTTAGGATGAGGATTTATCATTATTTACACCATTTACCTGCGGAATATTGTCCTCATCTTTACATATTTATTTTATCCTCATTTTTATTGTTATTATCACAATCTTTCGGTCGTTGTACTCTCCGGCCTTTATCAGGTGTATGTCGATCTTGGTCGCCTACAATTCCGAACTGAACCCTTTTATTTAATCAGCGTGGTAAACTGTTCTCGTTCTTCTACCCGTCATATCTCGTCTAATTCTTATTTTTAATATTTCTCATTTATTGCTCGTCCGTTTACACTCTAGTCCCAATGGACAATAGCTTCTTGGATTCAAACGTTCGTTCATCGATTTAGTGACATACTAAATTGCCGCTCAATGGATTTTTTTTCTTTTTCAGTCCATTTTCTGTAAACACTAGAGATGGTGAGTCAGGAAAATCCAAGTAGATCAGTAGACTTTTAAATAATAAGATCCTTCCGTCTGGGACCAACGACCATGCCACGCTCAGTCATTTAAATGGACAGCAAGTTAAATAGATTGCAGTAGAATAAATAAAGGGTTCATTTCGAAATTTCTTCATTCTTAGCAGGATCGATAGTTTACTGATGAAGACCGGAAGGCACAACAGCCGAAACTTTGGAATATCAACAACAAGGGTGCGGACAAAATCCGTATGTAAATAATGATATCTCCTCATCTCAGAAATTCATACAAGTTTGAATAAATCATGTGCATAATTCATGAGAGATACAAACAATTATTTTATCAAAACAAAATTAGCCGTGCAATTTAATGTGTAAATATCTATCTATCTATCTATCTATCTATCTATCTATCTATCTATCTATCTATCTATCTATCTATCTATCTATCTCATGTTGTCTGTCTGTGTGTCTGTCGTGGGCGTTGTTACCTCGCCCATGCCGCATTTCTCACCCGATTTCTATGCGGTTTTCACCACAAGTTTGCAAATGGCTGCCTTAAGGACAAGACGCAGCCCGATTTTTCAGTTCGGATTCAGGTTCCGAAAAAATCGATAATCGTAAAAATCGATAATCGAAAAAATCTGCTTACAGAAGGAATTACTGCATTTCAGCCAAATTTGACACTCTCTTAGGGTCTACCTTTAGAAGTGTTGTCCAAAAGTTTCATGACCACAGACGCCTAAACAGCGCGGAAAATCGATAAAACCCCAAATCCGATACGCCCAGATTGCACCTGAACCGCATGTCGGCTTTTAGCGAAAACTGATCGGATTTATGAGGAGGCCATTGGGAGTCACCATGTGAAGTTTCAACTCTGAGCGCCCCCCAAAGAGAGTGCAAATGGACAATCGGTCAACCCGTAAAAATGTTTTTCCGGTTGGGTATTTCCTAAATTCAGATTAATTTAAGGTCACGCTATGCGCGGGAAGAAACAGGTTAGTATGAGTCGTACGATTTTTGAATCAAGCACGGGCAACGCCGGGCCAATGCTTCTAGTATCCAATGTTGTCCTATCCTTATTTCGCCTATAATCAATGGATTTGACAAGATACATAACTACATAATAATTACTTCTGCTCACCCCCTTTCATCAATATTTTAATATATTAAGTATGGGATGTGTTCCTATTCGTAATTCTCATACTAACCTATATAGATATATGTTTTTATTTATTTTATCAAGGACCAAAAAACAGCTCTTCATATGGCTGCACAAAATGGACGAATTGATGTTTGCAACAGTCTACTCAGGATGAACGCTAATCCGAACGCCAGTGACTCGGTAAATTTTAATTATCCAACCGTAACCCTATTTTCTTTATACAAAACTCGTTATTAAAATGTTCTCACTGTTTCATGATCATTCGTGCCAATCTTTTACCTCTCATAATATTCTTATTTCTAAATCTTAACAGAAAAGTAAAAATTTTAATTCTTAATTTCATATATTACACGATTTTAATTTTTGTTATTTTTAAAATTATAAACTACAGATGAAATATTTTTTAATATTAAACGACAACGCATTTAGACACTCTGAATTTGTCATGTATTTTAATATTAATATTTGCAACTATTTTTGATAGATTTATTTATTAAATTTGACTAAAAAGTTAATGTAACAATTCCTTAATCTACGCAATTTCATTCTGATTCATTTCCAAACGTTTCTCAAATTACTTTACCAATCTTGGCAATTTCTCTGTCTCTAGAAAATTCTTTACAGTTAGAAAACGTCTTTTATTTTTATGATTTTCCTTTTTATCAGGACGGGCAAACGCCACTTCACTTAGCAGCGAAGAATGATTACCACAATGTCGTGAAATTATTCTTAAAATATAAACCAGAAATAGAGACCATTAGTTGCATGGTAAGTCTTTTGGGGGGTAAAATTTATTTTTTATTGAATGTATTTACCAATAATTTCAATCATTTTTTTTTTTTTTGAGATTTCTAGAAATTTCGCTGATATACATCTTGAAATCTCAAAAAAAAAAAGACTAAATGAACATCGCAGGGATGTATGACATGGCAACATTTTAAACGCGCGCTTGTAGTTCTCACCATAACAAATCTGATTACAATTTCTACGTCAATCACCCTATATATATATATATATATATATATATATATATCTTACTTATTATAAAACGCAGATTTTGTGTGTGTGCATGTGTGTCTGTAACGTTTATATATTGGATCGGATTTCCTACATTTTTCAACCGATTTCAACAAAACTTCACAGGACTACATAAAATTACTTTGTGGTGGTTCTAACAGCGCCAAAAATGGAAAAAATGTAATTGCTTTTGCACAAAATCAATTTGAAAACACGATTAAGAGACATCGTGAAAATGGAAGGGGGACAACTCACATCGGGTTGTTTGTGTGTGTGGGTTCCTTTAAATATGGGAGCGGATTTCCTATATTTTTCAGCCGATAAAACAAAACTTCACTTTTTTGTTGCAGGTAGTGTTTCTTATTCTCTTGCACACTTTTTTCTTTATTTTTAACATTCAGAATGCTTTAAAAATTCCATTTACAAGACAGTTATTTATAATAAAATTCTATTCAATCGGGAGACTCATAACGATTGAAAACTATGTTTTTGTTTGAGTTTGGGTTTGACCAATTCGTAAAAAAAAAAAAACTACTTAAGACATGCGTGTCCGTCAACCTTAAACAATAATCTTTGTCAATTTTATTTTTCAGTCTTTATGATGGTCGATACTTGATCTATCTCTTACTGTTATATCCCCGGGCAACGCCGGGCTCTACTGCTAGTATAACATACATATATATATATATATATATATATATATATATATATATATATATATAGGGTGATTGGATATATATATATATATATATATATATATATATATATATGAATAAAAATGACAATAGGAAAACTGGTAATTGCTGGCGCGTTTCGTCCAATGTGGACTTTATCAAAGCAAAATACGATTTCGTATTTTTCGTCCAATACGATTTCGTATTTTGCTTTGATAAAGTCCACATTGGACGAAACGCGTCAAAGCAATTACCAGTTTTCCTATTGTCATTTTTATTCATAAATATTGTCTTCTCTACCGATTAAATCGGAGAAATTTTCATATTCATATATATATATATATATATATATATATATATACAGGGTGATTGACGTCGAAATTGTAATTTTTTGAATTTGTAGGTCTGATGAATTGGATCGTGATTACGATTCCAATGTAATAAATTATAACAATGGAATATTAGTGCTTGAAGCTTATATATATATACACACACACACACACACACACACACACACACACACACACATATATATATATATATATATCAAATATGTAGCTTAGTTCAGTTAATATTACAAGGAATCATTCATACAAAAAGTAGATTAGTAAAGTTAATGATATAAAATCAAAATAATCAAAAAAAAAAAATCCTCAAATTGCCATATTAGTAAAAAAAAAAACGCACTCTCTTAAATATTAAAAAAAAATTCAACCTTAGCGTTACGACTGCATGCTCCAAAAGTTTCTATCCTTTATCAATAACGCATTTAAACAAAAAAAAACATATTTCGATTCGCATTAGATTTTTTCATCTCTGAAGATGACTAAATGTACAGTTGAAAGTACTTGTGTATTAAAGAAAGACCTTATGCAGCTTATAATTTTTAAAAAAACAGGGAGAATACAGCGGCTGAAATGTTGTGATGAAATCTAGACAACGAAATTGGTCGGACGGAATAAATAGATAACGATATAAATATTTTATTAAAAAATTATTTTTCATCGTTGACAATCGTCTTTCCGTAGTAGACATTTATAGAAACAGCTTAGGTTTGAAAATATTGAATTTTTCATTATGTAAATGGTACTTAAGCATAAAAGTATTGCGATTAAAGAAATAAAATTTATTTGATATATTGTTTATATTTCATTAAAACAGTTTTTAGTTTTTCTATTGAACTCTGCCTCCAATTTTATCGCCATAATTATTACATTACTTTGTTTCTTACTTGACCGCAGAGTCTAAATTTGGTTCTTTCATTTCATTGGAAAATTTCATTGTATTATTAAAGACATCATTGTACGTCATAAAAATAAACATCTTCGCAAATATATTATCTTATTGTTACGTCTAATTTGCTTGATTCAAATTTTTATTTACTAAAATCAATAATTATTTCTCTCAGTGTCAAAATGAAGACATCATTCCAAGATATATACCAAAGAATAATAGGTTTGAATCTAATGCTGAATATAAATATACATTTAACCCATATCACTAAAATCTTCTCGTATCATTCCATTAAATATTCATCAATATTAACAGATATTTATTAATAACATTTATTAAATATTCATTTAATCTTGATAAAAACAAAATTGAATTTAGACTAATTTTTATATTTTTTTTATTATTCGCTGCAAAAGGATAAGGTAAGTAGAACATTTTTTTTTTTAATGTTTGGTGTCCTAAATCATATAATGTAAATGGCTTACTCGAAGTTGTCTATTTTGTGAAGGCAGGAAATTATTTTAAAAAATATTCATATTTTATGAAAGATCTTTTTCCAAAAATCACAGTAGACGTAAAAAAAATGACTGCAATGGCAATTGTTTCTTGGATCAGCGAATCTGTCGAGAATTAAAATGTCGATCGCCGGCCCTCTGCCTAGGGTAAGTGAAGTCATTGCGCTCTGCCTAGGATTAAAAAGTTGCTTCCAGGCTTTTGTCTACGATCAGTAAAGTATCTGTGCGCTTCAACCGAGTTTAATATTTATAGTTTTATGGTATTGTTGAAGCAGTAACCAGCTGGTGTCATTATTACCGCTTCTAATACTGATTTCCACGGCATGCAGGTAGAACCTCCCCACATGATAGATAGATAGATAGATAGATAGATAGATAGATAGATAGATAGATAGATAGATAGATAGATAGATAGATAGATAGAGATAGACGCAACATTGTTTTGTTGCGCTGCATATTTGGCAGTGGGCCTCCAGCCCCGACCGCTGACATTGGTTAGAAATACAATCTTAATCGAGAGATTTGTCAAAACGTTCAAGTTTCCTTGTAACCAGGTTAGAACTGTCTGAAATAAACAGAGAAAATCATTGAAAATTATTTTATATTCTCAGATTAAAAATCATAACTATGTCTGAGTGTGTGTCTAAAATAGGGCCGACCTCAAAAATCATCAAAAACGACACCTACCGAGAAAAGCCATTAACTACACGTTTTACGTCATTTCCACTTGCTACAAATGTAAAAAAGATTGTGTCTCAGTTGGTGGACTAAGAGGTCATACGAAAGTTAACCCAAATATTTTACTGTAAGCCCTAATACAAGTGGCCCTCAACCTTGCTAGCTCGACACAAAAGTTTATAATTCCGTACAAGGACTGAAAAAGCAAAATTCACGCTGCCCATATGTGAGGATTAAACAAGCAATCGTATTACTCGAAATTGAGTCGAAGTCATCGTATGTGAATACGTCTTTTTACATATTTATATGTGTGCGTGTATCTCGATAATCTTTTACCTTCAAATCAATGATAAAATTGCAACACGTATTTTGAATATATAAAAATCGAAGAGATCTGAATAGAAAAGCCTTTGTTTTTAATTTAATATGAAATTACCGTTAGTTCTATGATGCAATTGGAGAAAATCAGTTTTAGTTTTGTTTCAAGTGAAAGTTGAAGAATAAAAATAAATCAACTTTGAGATTCAAACTGGCAGGTAACGAAAAAGTCAAGATCTGTTTAAATATCAATTTTTCCTAATCAATTTGTTTGATTCTTCTAGAATGGCATGACTTGTGCTCATATAGCAGCCGACAAAGGCAGCGTAGCCGTCATTAAAGAACTCATGGGATTCAACAAAAATATAGTCACAGGAGCAAGGAACAGGGTAAGTTAATTTTTGCAGAAAACTACAAAGCTACAAAATAATAACAATATTTTTGATTCGTTAAAATGCACGGTGCATAAAAATTGCTGAAAATTGAATATGACGAACATTTGATGAAAAGGTAAGCTTATGGTTTTCATTTGATAAAAAAGGAGAAAAATATCCTTTAAATTTGTCTTGGAATAATGCATTTACAATAAACATTAATAAAAGAAATTTATCAATAAGGTAAGATTTTTAACCGCCTTTCTTGAAAACAGAATAACTTTTCAGTTACTTAATTTTTTTCCAGGTATTCTACATCTTTTATAAACCGAGTATTACTTGCAGTCTATTTTGCATAAAAGGTGTGAATTTGGATGTGTACTGTAATAATTCAAGTATATTCCTTTTATAGAAAAGTGGGAACACGCCACTTCATTTAACAGCTTCTGGTGGACATAAAAATGCTCTCCTTGAACTCTTAAAGAATGGAGCTTCGGCAACTGATGAGAATTTGGTAAGATCAAGTTATTCGGATTTTTTAATTTTTACATTCTAATTGCTTTTTTTGCGATTGAAACTAACTACAAAATGCCACCCACTCTTTTTTTTTCTATTATTAAAACAGTTTTCTCAATTTTCGATGACTAACATATAGAATGATACCAAGCGGTAAATGCCACATGAGTTGTTTAATTCTTCTGGGTACATGACCTATACACACTTTATCCTTGATGATATGCGACATTTTGAACAAAATGTATTTCTGTCTAAATATTATGATTATAATGCACTGATTCATTTGAGCCAGTGTTCGTCATCTTTATAAAATGTTTCACCAATGTTTCAGTCGATTTGCCCTTTTGTTTTAGTCATAGACTGCAACCAAAATGTTGTGATGAAAAAAATATCAAAGTCGAATAAATTGGTTCGAACTGATCAACAAAAGCATCTTCCAGAAATTCAGCCCAAAATTTTGAATTTTATTAACTGGATTCAGATAAAGCCATAAATATTTTAAAAGTAAATCTTGCAAGCGAGTTTACAAGGCTGATTTTTTTTTATTGTATTGCTAATAGACTAAACTAGAGAACATAATGATTAAAATGCCGACCATATAATAAAATGTAAATCATCGACAAGAAAAACGTGTCTCTATGCCGATTTAAATAATATCTAAGTTGCATTACTTTCAAACCGTACTTCTGACATTCTTGTATAGGAATTCAAAAAGTGATGTTCCAGAAGGATAAAGACTCAACCAAATGATACCCGTATTACTAAACATACTCTGGAAGTATTTCGAAAACTTCCTTGCTCAGCATGGTCACTAGACCCATTTCCCATTGAATATATACGGGAGATGACGGGACGACGTCTGACTCAATCAGTTAGTCCACCTATAACTCTTGCTGTCTTGTATCAACAAGTTCAGAAGGCATGGAATAATGTATCGTGTAATAATGAGCTCCACCTGTACGATCGTAGGCATACACGAGCATAAGCTTATATTAAATGCTAAGGTGGATATGTAATCTATTAATATTGGATTTGCGTATTGTTGATACACTATTTAATTTGTAAACCTACCCACTAAAAAACTAACTGTTCTGTAAATATTTACTCTGATACGGCGACCTTAGCTTTACGTTTAATATTCTGCACTTTGAAACATACTCAGGGTTTTGCAATTTTATTTTCCATCACTGTTTATATATTAACAGATGTTCTATGCATTTTTAAAGTCAAAGATTTTTAATGAAACTTTGACACTTATTCATTACTTTGAAAACATATTTCAAATAACAAATTTATTTTAGTCAGAATGTCAGTTTCCCTTGCATTGTAACTAAATATTGTTACAATGTTATGCCACTCTGTTAACTATCTGAAGAAAATAGATGGAGCTTAAACGCGTACCTTTTAAGTTTAAAAATAAAACATTCTGCTTTGATTTTGATTCATTAGTATTTATTTATCTTCTCTTAGACTGGTTGTCACCCAAGGCTATAGAACCCAGTTTACTCTTCTATTCTACTCAAAGCTGAAAAAGTCTCGTCAATTAACATAACAAGTATTCGTTTTCAACAATATACAAACAATAAATTTCATTTTTATATGATATCAATAAATTTCAAATATGAAGTTTGTTATGATTTCTTTCAGGATGGAATGACTGCAATACATCTTGCTGCCCAGTATGGGCATGTCCATATTTTAGAAACGTTAAAAGAATATATCAGTTTGGATATCACCAGTAAAAAGGTAAGTGAATATGAAATTGTGATTAAAGAAAGGCATACATTTACAAACACGTATAGAATATTATAGTTTCAATAGTACAAGAAGAAATTTCATAATCTCTTGATTCACATTCCTTCCTCGTCTTTTCAACAAGCATAGAAGTTTTTCCCTTGTTTCCTGTTTAGGATTGGCTTTCCGATTCCTTCTCCTAAAATCGTCTCATTCTCTTTCACGCCAAGTAAACTCTTGCATCTTAATGGCCTTATCGCCTTGCTTGGGGAAGAATGATTAAAAAAAATAAAATTTTAATTTTTTATTTAGAACACTAAGCAATTTATATATTTATATCATAAAGGAAATATATTACCCTATACAGTTTAAAATAGTATTTTAAATATTAACGAATTGACAATATTTAAGAGTTCAATTATTATTATGAAAAATCAGTTAAAGTCAATTTTTCTCTTGAAGAAAATGTCTTCTGTCTTGTATTTATCACTTTTAATATATTGCAATATGTTCACTTGAAAAAAAGTAATATAAAATTGTTTGTAGGCCACGATTGATTATAAGCATGTTTCAACTGATTTGTGTTTACAATGAAAATCGGCATTTTCCTTTTACTTGATCTTGAAAAGGAACTATTAGCGTTAAAGAGGAATATGCAATTACTTCAGCTTCAAAGTAGACTTCAGTATTATTAACAAGTCTTATTTTTAACTAACTTATTTAAATAATACGTTAGTTGAAAATAAATTGTCTTTTTCATGACTGTCATCGTTTATTACATTTTTCATTTCTCGATACGTGATTCTCTTTAAGCTTTTCTTTATTTTATTTTATTTTATTTTTTTTTTTTGTGAAGTATTATAAGATTCTCCAGATTTACATATTCAGAATTAAAGAGAAAAAGACAGACAAGTGCTACTGAAAGTGAGTTTAAGCTTAAGTAATTTTCACATTAGGCCTAAACGGAGAGATTAATGGTATTTGGAAGATTATGTTACAATAATCTTTCAAATACTGAAGTCTGCTTGACTTAAAAATAAAATATCAACACTAGAAATTCTTGGCAGAAATTCATAACAGATGACATTGAGAAAGACAAAACTCACTAAGCTTCCAAGCAATTTCACAGGCCCCACAATTGTGGGTGTTTTAACTAAATACAGTAAGACGCCCTTGTTTTAAGTAATATATTTTGCAGATTGTAAAAATTCGTTCAAATGTTACAAACACACCATAATATGATTATTATTATTATTAAAAAAAACAAAAGCAGAAAAACTTTCTGTTGAAAAATCTGAGATTTGGGATGAAAATTATTCTAATAATAAATTTATCTTTTTCTTTATTCTTGAAAATTTTGTGACCAAATGTCACATTGGTTTCATTAAATGGAAATCTTGGGTCTCTTTTACGGAGTGTATTCTTGCAGTGTCATCCTGAAGAATGGCATTGTTTATGTCAGAATTCTTTTAGATTAGATATTATCATTCCTTATTATTTGATTGAAACATTGTGATGAACCAAGATGAGAATTCTGGTGTGAATAATACGGCATATATAGTGATTTTCCAAGCGTAGCTTAGATGTGGCACAAGACCGAAATTATGGGGAATCCAATGAGGATCGAACTCACTACTCAGTGGCAATTGTTCTAGCGAGACAAGCTTGCTAACCATTACACCACTTCGAGGTGCCCAAATATGGCATATATAACATATTTTCTGTTGACTACATCTGATTATTTTTGTCTAAAGATCAATCGTTCATGACAATAATAAAGATTTGATGAGATAGAAAATCAAAATAATGATGATTACTCATAGAAAACGTTCCACTCTAACTTTCTTGACTTATTCTAAGAACTTGCAATAGATTTCATCATTTTTACAGGTTTTTTTAGAATAAGCCTGAGAATCCATCAAAATATTAGAGGTGAAGTAATTTTGAAGAAATACACACCATAGTTAAGTAGGATGCATGAGGCATTCCCGCCCTAATAATACCAAAATATTTCACTGTGTTGTTATATAAAAGTAAGAGTAGACATCTAGAATGTCTCGGAGTAAATAGTCTCGTAGAACGTCATGTTCTGTAATGATTTTACACCTCACGAGTGTCCCACAGATGATTAAGAGATCTTGGTAAAGGCAAATATATTAATATGTAGATATGAATTCATATGCCTTAATTATTGCTTCCCACTTTTTGGAATTTCTACAGGAATGTTTCTTTCTCATATGTTTGTTATCTTTTTTTTCCAGACAGGTCTTACGGCCCTTCACATTGCAGCGCGATACGCGCAATTGAGTTTTGTACAAGAAATGCTGACCGAAGTCTCAGCTACAATAGCAAGCAAACCACCTTCAGACAACAGTCTAGAATATGAGGTGAGATACATAATATTATTTATTTCCATCGGAAAATAATTCTATTTATATATCTATCTTCATCTTTATCTCTCCTCATATCTATCTCTCCCTCTCTCCCTCTCTCCCTCTCTCTCTATATATATATCTATTTCTCTTCATCTCTCTCTATCTCTTCCTCACACTCTCTTTCTATATATTTATATATTTCCATTAATCCATTACATATTTTATATATATATATTTTAAAGTCCTTCTTATTCCTCTTTTAATTTTAAATTAATACTTCATTCTTCATATAACGCCAAATTAATGTCGGGTTTATTTTTATAAAACTTCTCCCCTTTAAGACAAATATCTTCAACCCTCCCTTTGAACCTTATTTCGTGCCTTTCATCTGACTGAAACATTGAAATGGATAAATAGTTTTAGTTTTTCGATTGTCTTTTTTTTTTTAGCTTTCAGAGTTAAATTTCTATTTCTGACACGAAATCAGTCCACGTCGGGGTTGATAATACATACGACTGATACTTTCATCTGCCGAAATAGACTATTCCCCATATGAGGTGAACTGGGATTTTGTTTATTAATTATTTGCTCTGTAATAATACATTGAGCTCTTTTTGCGGATCAGTTTTATATTTTATATTAGCAGGATCCACTTTTCCCAGTGTTTTTCAATTCTTTTTATTGTTCTCTTCAACGTTTTCGCAATTTTCAACATTATTTTCATCGCCAAATATCTTTACAATATTATGTTTCTCTTTTATGATTATATTTTTCTTAGGACCCATATCACAAATTGTACTATTTATTTACTATCAAATTGGCAATTCTCATGACTGTACGATACAATCTTACATCATCATAAATGCTATTTTAATTGTATTTTTATTCTAACAAAAACATACATCATAAGCTGAACTTTACATGGTATTATTATCATATAAATTAAGGTATAAACTGAAAACTTTACGAAAATCAGTTGCTTAATAGAAATTTTATTTTGAAAACATTTGCTTGGATAATCAAATCTAGCAACGACCACGATGCAACTTCCACTAATGATAAATCTGTCTATAATAATAAAGACTATAAATAAATCTGTCTATAAAGACCCAATAATGAAAGGCATCGAATCTAAAGAACATTATTTACGTTCTATGACCAATTTGGAATAATATACTTATTAAAATGGAACCTAATTGATGAAACTCTTTTTTTCCTGTTTTATTCGGATGCTATCGTGATAAGAATTTTAAAGATGTTTACAATTTTTGTTGAATTTCTGGTTGATCCCCCCCCCCCATTTGTGACACGTTATTATTTTCTGTCTTTGATACATTCTGTAAAAAAACTAACGACGTACGATTCCACTGGAATTCTGTAGCCAAGTTTATATTCTTGCAATAAAATAAAGCATAATTACGTTTTCTATTACATTTTTTGGTTTTGCGAGTTTAACAAATAATTTCACAATTATAATTTTATTGCGAGTTTTTCTTGAAGTTATTGTTTTTTGTCGTAAAAGCTTTCGACCCGCCAACCGCGCGAAATCGGAAACAAAAGAGGAGCATTCGACGTGACTAGCATCCCAGAAGAACATCGCATTAACCACTTCGGCCACTGACGACTATGATTTTTAAGTAGATATAAAATGCAGTTCACGACAAAATTCCAATTTTGCACTTAAAAGAAATAATAATGTGATGAAATTAGCAATAAAATAATAATAGGGAAAATTTTCATCTAAAAGCAACAATAAAAAATAAGATAAAATTAGCAATGAAATAATAATAATAGCGGAAATGTTTCATTTAAAAATAAATAGTAATAATATGGAATAAACTATTGCATATAGCGTAGTGGTTATCAGCGCCAAACAAAAAACCAAAAACAACGGACACAGCGTACCGAGTTCAAATTCCAGTCGAACTCGTTGCGTTCACTTTCGTAAAAATACCATTGGGAAAGGCATGAATCCATCTCTCTGCCCCCTCCCCAGTTATAGTTTAAATGTCAAGGCATTGTTGGCAACCTTGGTTGACACCTAGTCTAGAAGAAAAAACCTGGATTCAAAACTAGTTGGGCATCGGTTAAGCAATCTACTTAAAAAAAAATAAACTACTTACTATGGAAACCACAGCAATAAAATATCTAACGTGGTGAAACTCTGGTTCTAACATGATGGAAGTTTAAAGCGACTAAGAAAGAAATATACAATATAATAATAATAATGAAGAAGAAGAAGAAAATTCTCCATCGAAATTCAACAATAAGATTGTTTAAAACTAACAATAAAATAATTGTGAAATTGCTACATCGAAAGCAGATCAGATAATAAGATGGACATAAAAACAGAAATTAAACGAAACTTTGAAAATGCTCCATCGAAAAGAATTTCGACACAAGTCTATGTTTAATGCACAAAAGGGATTAAAAATTTAACGAAATGAAACGAATTAATATTACTTCGTGTCGTTAAGGCGTCGACATTTGCGAATATCTATTGTTTAAGAAACAAGCATATGTTTATAGCATTATGGATACTGAAAGTGTGATGTTTTTATTAGTGATATTGGCAAAATCGCTCGATGAATGAATAAATGAATAAAAACTTATCTTAACACTTTTTCGGCGTTCTGGTTGTCATGTTATTTATACCGATATTTACAAGGAGATTAACAGGATAGTTGGAACCTGTACGAGGTTTATATACGAAGATAAGCTGGAAAGTTCATCAGCTGACTATGAAGCAGTGATGATAGAGCTGTGAAATCCCGCATGCATTAATTAAACCTCTTCTTATTAATAACTGAATTGTTTCTTTCCATGTAAACTGACATCTGACTGCTCAAAGAAGACTTCAAAAGTAACTAGTAACGATTTCTTTTGAAAATGGTCAAAATTTGGTACTGTGATGTTATCAAGTATCTGAAGAAGAAAAGGTTTAGTGCTCAAGGATTCATGCTGACACGTTTGCTAGGGGATAATGCTCCAGCTGTATGAACAGTGCAAAAGTGGGCAGCTGAATTTAGGAAGGGAAGGGGGGAGTCTTGAAGATAACTCACGGGCTGGACATCCTGTAATTGACATGATCGAGGAAAACATTAATCCTGTCCACCACATGGTAATAGATGACAGGCGATTGACTATAAATTAAATAGCAAATACTATTAGCATATTCTGTGAGAGAGTTGGTAATATTCAGTACAATGACAATGGTTTCTGCTCGATCGGTGCTATGTGTTCTACAGAGAAGATGGTGAGTTCAGTTATTGAGCTCATTAACTATCTTCAGAAGGGCCATACCATCAATGGAGAGTACTATGCCAACTTGCTGAGGCAGTTACGAAAGGCTATCTAAACCAAGCGCCCAGGAAAACTGCCGAAAAGGGATTTGTTTAATCAGGACAATGCTCCAGCACACAAGTTTCAATGGCAGTATATGTCTGTGGCTTTGAACTGATTGATAGCCATCCCTATTTCCCTGATTTGGTCTCATCTGACTATCATCTGTTTCCCACCCCGAAAAAAAAAACATTTGGCTTGGCATCCAGTATCGAAGGTTGATGACGTCATATCTGCTGTTGATGACTTTATTGACCAACAGAATGAAAGCTTCTTCACCAGTGGGATCCAACCATTGTAAAACCGATAAAGGAAGTGTGTGGACCACGAAGAGGGCTATGTTTAAAAAAATAAACGTCATTTGGTAAAATTCCATGAGAGTATCTTGGTCAGCCTATGAACTTTTCAGCCTACCTTTCTAGTTGCGTGTTTCTCACGGTTTCCAGCGTTTACTGCTCGAGCCAGGGTAAATGCCAATGTTTTGAATACTGATTTTCAAGGCAGCTGGAAGACTAGTGCCAAATATCTTCCTATGCCAGTTTATTTCATTGAGTTCTTGTGCTGTACTAAATAAAATTCGATCAAATCACTAAAGAAAAGAAAAATAAAACTCCACAAATCTCATATTAATTTTTTCATCTACAAACGATATATATTCATCTCTCCAGATGATATGAAAAGGGATTCGTGATATTACCGACATAAGGTTTTCCAAAAGAAATGACTGAGGAAACTTTTCATCTATATAATCATGGAATGCTTCCGTTGTCAATGGAGAATTGTGGTTTGGAGAGTAAATCAACAATGCAAACCGCTTATAGATTCTAACCCAAGAGATAGAGAAATAAAATCCTTCTGTTTGAATAAGAATTTTTTTTATCCCATGTCTATCAAATAAAAGAAATAATTATTCTTATTATTTTTCCCATGATCAGAAACAATAACGCAAGGCAAAGAAGTTTGTAAAAATCTGCCAGGGAAAATCAGTAAATCGGTTTTTTATAACTGAAATTTGTTATAAATATAAAAAGCTGTATCACAAGGTTCCGTATTTTGTTGAAATTCAGAATCTTTTTTTCTCTCTTTCAAACCAAGTATGGTCTAACCCCATTACATCTGGCGGCACAGTCTGGACATGAGGGTCTAGTGCGGATTTTACTCAACTCATCAGGCGTCAATTTCGCGGCAGTAACAGCCGTTAATGTAAGTAGTTACCAATTTTGTTTTAATACTAAAACTAATAATATGATATTAACTTAGGTTATTATGCACCTGAAAATGTCAAACTAGATTTTTAAATTTGCCAATAAACGAATACACTTCATCTTATCAATATTATCTTAACGCTGCAATAAGTTGAACAAATGTATAATTTTTTTTTGTTTTTTGTTACGTCTTCTAAAACAACCAACAATAACATGCAAAGATGTATAATCCAATGGTATAGAAAGTTCAGCAATAATGTCGTTAAACTCTAAAAGAAAATAGATGACATCATTTCCGGCTAATAACTGCATCTTGACAGTCAACAACAAAATTCAAGAATGAAAATCGACTTGTTACTTTTTTCAGATTATCATAAATCTTTTCTTTTTATATTTACACTTCTTCTCTATCCATTTATATTTACACTTATATTTACACTTATACATTATATATATTTAAATTATATTTACATTTCTTCTCTATCCATTAACTGTGGTATTTACGTTCGGTTTCTCATTTCACAAACTGACTAATCGTGGTCTTCTGTATTTTCTTTATATTATTTGATTGGCTTAAAAGACGCCCTATCAGGCGGCATTTACGCTAACTCCTGCGGAGGGCTCTTGATTAGGCCTTCACCACAATACGTAGGGAGTAGATGCGATAGGCAACATTAAACTAGAGAAGAACTCAGAATTGATCGCTGCATTTAAGTATTGCATTCATATTTAAGTTTACCTTTTAAAAGTTCAACGATAATTCTTCTGAGCCACTTAATTTAAAGACAATTTGATGTACGTAGGTCCTTATTTTCCGTACAAACAATTATTCGCTGGATTTCGCAATTAATTTCGATTATTCCCAAATTTATTTCCAAGTTATAAAAATTGTTATCGTACAAAAACTTCTTTGCAAAAAATCAAGTAAAAAATCGCCGAAAACAATGGCAGTAATGAAAAGATGGGAATTCAAAATTTGAGGATTAAGGGTCCGGATCTGGATCGGGACCGAAATGTTTTGAATTTGCTCATGGAGTCGGCCTGATTCCAAAATGGTATGGTATGTTGGTCTACAGCCTCTAGGAGTAAAGTTGAAAAACGGTGACACACTAACAATCGCATTTATTATATAGAAGAAAGAGAAAGGAAATTTCCTGCAACAACATACAAAGCACATTTCAGTTTGCTTATATTTTCCTATTTAATAGCAATGCTAATTACCGACAACGATTTTCTATTGTTCTTTAATTTTCTTTTTCTTTTTTTCAATAGAGACACATCCCGCTTCACCTTGCTGCTGAAAGTGGACACACATCAGTGGTCAGTTTATTACTGAGCAAATCAACATCCCAACTACATTTAGCAGACAAACACAACCGTACTGCCTTGCATTTAGCTTCAGGGAGTGGTCAAATTCACATGGTAGGAATGCTTCTAGGACAGGGTGCGGACATCAATGCTGAGGATTGTGTAAGTGAAGCTATGTTGATAAAAGACAAAACTAGTTTATTGATTAACAAAGCCCGTCATTTTATAGCTGGTTTATATGTTGCATGCACAGCTCTTTTAATGAAATCGTGGGTAATGGAACAACAAGACACCAGAGACATCGCAAAGAACTAATTATCCTGTTAATTTCGAGTTTGAATCACTTTACTTCTTCCGAAGCAAAGCTTAATAAATATCTACAAATGCCGGAATCTACGAACTAACGGAAAATGAAATTACTACACCCTTAATATGTTTCTCATGTAATATAGGTGGATCACAGTAGCTAAATATACAAATCAATACGTGCACAAGTTTTAAAATAAAGAGTGTAGCGAAAATTCTCTAAAAGTATTCTGCATATTCACCTTGAACTTTACTACAGGTCTCTACTCTCGTATGCACACTTGACCGTATAGGTGGCGCTCCTAATCACACGGTATATTATTCCACACCTCTTGCAATTGTTGATAAAAATACGAATACGACGTTGTTCTGGCCTAAGAAAAAGTCTGGTTAGAAGTACGCGTGCCTGTAGTTTTTCTGCAAATAAATAATCCCCAGCGGTTCGTCTATCGAAGTCTGATTTAGTAAATATCATAAAACATTTGTATATATTATTATAACAGACAATTTTCACATTAGCGTTCGTTCTCAGCAACCAACCACCCACCTACACACACACACACACACACACACACACACACACACACACACACACACACATTTAATCCACAGTTAGCGAAATTTCATATTTTGAGAATATTCAATGAGGACCGAAATCACTATCAACAGCTTGCAGGCGTTTGTGAACGAGTGGTAATATTAGTGCCGCATTAGAGTAAGAATAGTATTAATACAGCTGCGCATTTTTTTATTTCATTTTATCAACAGTTCATATTTTACGAATTATTAACTATTGTTATCTCCCTTTACAGAATGGCTACACCGCATTACATTTTGCGAGCAAAAAAGGATATCTGAATGTAGTTAAATTATTAGTCGAAAGTGGTGCCAACACAAATGCTCAGTGCAAAGAAGGCAAATTGGCCATATGCCTCGCAGCTACACAAAGTAACACAGACATTCTCAAATTCCTCACGAGGACAGACTTGGATACAAATCGTTTAATTGATGACAAAAAGGTTAGTCAATGACTTCTAAATTTTTTTTTTTTTGTTGTTGTCAAATCTACTGATATTTATGGGGATTTATTACCTCACTGCTTTTTAGATAGTATTCAATTCTAGGTTATCTAAAAAATTATTTCAAGCTGGAGTATTTACTAATTCCACACCCTGAATTTTATGATGGATTTACGGTTGGTGCCATCATTGCTTTCATTTCAATTTCAGATCATAGTTTCTGGTTGGAAAGGTTTGAGTCTTATTTCTTGAAACACGTGGTTACACGTAACCCAACTATGAATATCTATGTTATCAACATAAGCCCTCAGTTAGAAAAACAGTAAGATGGCGTTATCTATAAGTAGCTTCGTTTATGACGTAAATGTAATATTAGATGATCTAAGCCCATCTCTTCACATCTGTGCTTGTATATGTGCAGGGCATAGTCTAGGAAAAGATTAAATAATTTGAGCTCTTGTTTCCTCTTTGTCGTACCCTTAGAGAGTTTGAAATATTTTCGTATTGGGGTCTTCGCCAGATATATAGGGTTTTGTGGGCCGATATAGTTTCTCAGATCAGATTCATATACATTTTAGTGAAGTCAGAGCTTGGAAAGTCTTTATTGATGTGGCCATGTGATGCTATGAGGTCAACAAAGTATGTATACAATTTGGGGTCATAGAGACATATATAAATATACTTTTCCTAGTGTGTTGAGTCATTGATTTAAATTCTTTTTTGTCCAGACGAGGAAGGGTCCTGTGTATCTTACTACCGATACTGCGCAAGAATTCTCTTATCAGTTTTCAGGTATTTAGCCTAGTTTCAAGATTTTTGTTCTTCATATTTTTCTTTAATTTCCTCCTTAATTACTAAATCACATACAAGTAGTCCTAGGTATTTGTAGCAACTTCGTGTGGTTAATGACTTCATTGTCTTCTTTGACATCCACACCCTCTACATTTCTTTATTCAAATTCCATTCGGATATAATCACTGTAATTTTTAACTTTGTTGATCAGCCTTTTGAGTTATTTAATTTTTGGTGAGTCAGCCAAATCGATGAATGATTGTTTATGACGATTGTCTTGCGCCAGTCTCCCAAATGGGGAATCCTGATTAATATCTTATATTGTTCATGAACCGATTAAAATGCCTAGGCGAAATTGGACCATGAAATAAAAAATATATATATTTTGAGAAAATTCTTATAATTAAAGAAAAATTGGTTTGTGTTTTCAGTGCAACGTGGTTAGCCACAACCCAAGAAAAAATCGACATCAGAATCATTCTATTTCCACTGTCAACATAAGGAACACCTCTACTAAGAATTGAACCTCTACTGTGAGCTCTGTATATACCTCTGCTATCATCTCCAAACTTGAACCCCCCAAAATTATGTGGACTTGATGCTAAATTTATCCTTAAAGAATATATCCTTGAACTGGCACCAAATCTCTCCAAGTTCTACAAGTTGCTTTTTCTTTCTTTCCATATTTTTGGAAATCCTCTTCTATTTTAAACAATTCTGGTGAACTCTGACCCTTCAAACTGACCCTTCAAGTACTAGAGGCTCTAATCACAGGGTCTTCTTTCACACAGACAATATGGCTTTCGGCTTTCTGGGTCAACAGTTGATGTGTTGGTGGTTATTGCCGAAAGAGTCTGTTATGCTTTAGATACTAATGGACAACTTCGTGCTAACATCATGGATATCTCAAAGGTTTGACATGCTGGTCTTCTTCATAATTTCAAGACTTATATTTCCGGCCGATTTTTTAATTTAATTAAATATTTTTTATCAAATCGCGTAATGAATGTTGCATTGAATGGCTAATCAGCGAGATTCTTTTGCATTAATACCGGTGGCCCCCAGGCCTCTATTTTTGAAACTATGCTGTCCCTAATTTTCATCAACGACTTTCTTGGTGTCATCAGTCCTCGACTTGGTATCTATTCTGATGAGACAACGATTAACTCCTATCTTCAGAGTTTCGATAAGATCAAGTTGGCAACTAATCTCGAAAATGACCTTTAGTTTGTAGTTATGTCAAGAAATGTCTTGTTAATTTTGACGCCTCCAAAACGAAGCTGCTCATTTTCAAATATCATTTTTGTTTGTTTTCCATCAGCATGGCAGATGCTAACCTCCAAAAGAACAATTTATTGCGTTTTTTTTTTTGTTTTTTTTAGTCTAACGTTTTCCACTGATAGGAAGTGAAAAGATTACTTTGAACCAATGCTAAGTTTGCTGTTAGGAAAATCGGTTCGCTATGTGTTAAACGCTTTTTCTCGCCAAAATCTATCTATTTATAAATCTATACGTCCGTACAACAAATATTGCTTCCATATCTTGTACGATGCTTCTGTTACATATATTGATGACAAAATGCAAAGAAAAGTCTGCAACATTATCGGTCCTATTCTGGCATCTAGTCTTCATTTAATTTCAACACTGCCGTAATGTAGCATCACTGTGGCTTTTCTATAAATATTTTCATGGTAATTATTCTGATGAGCTTTCTTCTTTGGTACCTCGACTTTACGAATTTAAGCGTACTACTAGATTGGCAGCTAGGTCTCATCACTTTACAGTTGAAATGGCAGCTAGATGTAACTGTAAGTTCTATGCTAATAGTTTCTTCTACCACACTTGTGGAACTCATTTTCATCTTTCTTTCTTGTCAACTACGATCTTCAATAATTTAAGTCAGTGTTAATGGTCGTCTGTTTCCTTGGATCTTGTTCTTTTATCTTCATTTCCGTTTTTTTTTTTTTTTTTACAGTAAACCTTTTACATCTTAGTAGCTTTTTATCGTCTTCATTCCGTTGAAAATGATTAAAAGAAAATGAACACTTTCCAAAAAATTCAAGAAAAACTTATAATTATCTGATTTTTTAGAGTTTAGAAAATTAACTTTTTTCTTCTTGTCTTACCACTTTATTATTTTATTGCTCAGTCCAGTGTAGGGATTGCCCAGGCTGATCAGACGGGAAATGAATATGATTTGTTGTTATTTCATTTTTATTTTCTGTTTGCCATTGAAAAATATCTATTTGTTGTTTACAATTCAAATTCTTCGTAAAAGCTAAAAGAACTTTTCTTACTTACAGTTTGTATTCGATCTGATGATCTGTGGTAAACTCAACCACAACAAATGCCTGGAAGATTTCATCCTTGTTTCCAAAGCCCCTTTGCAAACTGCCGTAAAACTGTGCAGGAATTTCCGTGTGATAGCCAGCAAAGAAAAAGAACGTGGTAAAGACCTGGAACTTAGTGCAGACTATTGTGAAAGCATAGCCATAGATATGATGAGCATAGTATCAAGTCTTTATAACCCAGAACCTCTTCTTCATTCTATCGACGATAACAATACGGAATTTCTTGATTATCTTATTGAAAGTGAACAAAAGGTTTGTTTTAAATATATATTAATAAAAATACATTTTCCCTCACTGTTAGCACAACTCTGGGTTTTATGCGCGATGCAATCGTCAGATGATGATTAAAAACTGACCGTTGCGTAATTTATATATTGAGATTTATACCGTACTGTAATGACAGTCGAGCGGTAGAGAAATAAAATTAAGTTATATATATATATAGTTGACCACACCTAAAACTTCCAAGCGTTTTCACGCAATTATCCAGTAGTCTGCAACCGTTATTTGTGAAAATGGCCATTTTATACGCCTTTTACTGTTTTTCACATGCAATCGAGCAGTTTCTCAAGGCACTTGTGATTTTTTTATGGGGTTTCTTTTTCCAAATAGTGGTGATTTTTTGGCATTTTCTTCTTGGCTACATGGGCATTGGCATATGTACACATTAACTGCCCTTGTTACATTTTGAAGTTGCCAAAGGAAATATTCATATTAATTTAATATGGCATTGAAGTCTTTTCTTGTAGTGTGCCTCTGTAGCATACTCAGTAAGTGCTACTTCTCTCTCTCTCTCTCTCTCTATATATATATATATATATATATATATGTGTGTGTGTGTGTGTGTCATATCACAGCCCCTCAGTGCGACTGGACATCCGAAAGCCCCAAGCCCGGATCGAAACCCAACCGATTTGGTGTCAGTCAGAGTTTCTACCACTGAGCTATCTTCATACGATAGAGAGAAACAGTAAAATCTAACGTATTGTTTTTACAGATGTAAACAAATGCCAATCAGTCGGAGTGCTCCAATTCATTTTACTGAAAGAGCTTTGCATTAACGCAGGTGACTGTTGTTTATAGAATTAGCCCTCTTTCAACAGTGTTCAATTGAAATATATTTTTTCAAGAGCTAAATGATGTCATTCGCAGACCAGATATAATATTTACAGAATCCTTAAAAAAAAACATAAGAAAACACCGTTCTAAAGAGATGAATGTAAATTCATGAAATAAATTATAACCGAATGGATCTTTAAGGATTCTGTACTCATTATTATATTGCTCTGTTCTTACATTGAGCACTCTTTCGATTAATGTCCTCCTTGAATTATCCCTACTAACTGATACTATATATATATATATATATATATATATATATATATATATATATATATATATATATATATATATGGGTGTTTCTAGGATATAAAAAAATATCCGAACAAAACTGAAGATGATAAGACAAACTGGAATAGCTAATCAATAATCTATACATATCCGAGCGCTTTCGACTAATCTTTTAGCCATTATGAAGAATGATTTTTATTTTTTAACTGAATGTATGTTTGTTTTTTGTTTTTTTATGTGTGTATTTGGAGTTAAAGAAATGTTTTGTGGCTGTGTTGATAGTTGATGTTATTGATGAGAGTTGGCTTCTTTTTCTTAATAATGGCTAAAAAATAGCCAAAAGAACTTTGATTACTAGGTCCTCAGAGGACTGGCCATTAACAACTTCCTTCAGGATTTTATTACTGAGAAAACTTTTCCAGTGATTTCGATAGAAAGATGTTCTACATTTTTTATGCTGTAATATTGTCCAATATAAAAGATCTTTTCTGTCATTTTGTGCCTGTAAAGGATAGATTATAATGATTTGTGTCTCTCTTTTTCTTTTGCAAGATTGTCGTTGCTCATCCAGCAGTTCAAGAACATTTTTCTCACATCTGGATTGGAAGTTTAAATTGGTCAACCTCGTCGATTTTCTTATTTTTTCTGGTCTCTTTTCTGTTTCCACCTGTCTGGTTAATTGTCTCATTACCATTAAAACACAAGTAAGTTACTGTCATTTTTTTCATTTATGCTCAATTATTTTCATGATTTTAGTCCAAAAATATCACCAGATGCGGAAAAAGGTCCCATTTAAAGTATTTGCGAATATCTGAAGCAACAAATACAACTTCAGAAAAGTTTTTAAAACATCGATGAAAAACTCATAAATAAAATTATTTGCATTCTTTACATGCAGATTATTGTCTGCATTTTTGTTATTGTTATAACTGTGTTTTTGGCCGTTGCCATCTCCCGGCCTTCATCAGGTGCTTATCAGTCCGAATGAGCTTCTGGGAATTTCGAACTGAACCATTTATTTAATCTATGTGGTACATTATTCCTATTCCACTGCCCACGTCTAGGTATACCTCGTCTAGTTTTTATTTCGTACTATTCATTTATTGCTTACCCCGTTTCCAATGAGTTCAAGTACACACTGCCCGGTCCAGACATTGAACCCACAATTACTATGTCACCAAATTCACGAGCGAACACTTTAATCCACTAAGGAATTGCCCCGTGAAAGACAGAGAGCCAGAAAATTGCCACGGTCTGTCTTCATTAAGCCAAGGGTTTATCAGAAGAGATTTAGAAAATCAACATCAGGACAATATTCAAAAACAGCTAAACTTTAAGGGGAAATCTCTGAAAACATGACTAAGAACTGCGTACACTCGATTTCTGCCAGTTGTGGCAAAGAATATAAAAGTGAAACTAACTGCCCCAAAAAGTAAAACTGGAGGTATATCTAAAGCCGTTATTAGACAAGAAAATTAGGCCTGGCTGATCCTGTACAAGCAAGGAGAAACACTGGAGAGTCAGATCTCTAAAAAAAAATAGGCATATCATAGAAATAAATACGATATGGGAGCCGTTAAGATATAAAGAAAACTGACAGCAGCAAAAAAAAACAAAAACAATTGATGGGTGCAGCCTAGCGTGACAAGTTGTTACAGTATCACTCATCAACAGGCAGGTTTGTTTTAAGACTCCAATTTCTCCATTGAGTTGTGAGTTCAATCTCTCGGCCTAGAAATGTCTACTTGCACTCAGTGGAAACATGACGAGCAATAACTGTGCAGTACTAAATAAAAACTATACGAGATATTCTGAGATACTGTCAGCGGAATGTTGACAATCTACCCTCGTAGATTAAATAAAGGGTTCTGTAACGAGAGCGAAGGAAATAAATATTTATTCTCCCGATTACATTTTCTCTTGTTATAGGAATTAGAGGATATCCGTGATACAACACCGTAGCCCATGAACGGAATGGGTGAAAGGAAAAAGAATGACAAACACACTTTGCTCTCAGAGAGATTTTTATAAAACTAAGACATACACAAAACTATAAATATACATGTCCCACGTGGAGAATTATATGTCACATATATCTACACAGCAAAGTAAAGTATAAGGAGGATCAAAAAGGAAAGGTTTTACATATGATTTAAAGATATTCCTGACCTTGAGAAGACTCCATGTTTAAACGGGCCGGATTCATCAATGTCCCAAAGGGAAATGGCATCATGCGTTTTAAACTGGGGAAGTAGAATTAGCCTCAACCTGGGCCAATGGCCATGATTAGAAGGAAGCAACCTTTTCGCTTGGTTACTATTCACAAACTAAAAATCGACCCCCACTTTGGGTCACTGTATGGAGTGACGTCACAAAGTGGTCGTCATGTGACTACGGGACTTATCTTCCACCATAGGGAAGGAAGCGTCTTCTGTATCCCATCAGTTCAGTTCGAAATTCCCTGAATATTACCCCGATCGACAAGCGCCTGATGAAGGCCGGGGGACACATCGGATGAAACGTTATGATAACAACAAGAAATATGACAACAATATTCCGATTGTAAATATATAGGTACCACCAAAATTGATACTTTTTTCCCGCATCGAAAGTAAAAAATCGACAACCTCTGTTTTAAAATATTTGCCAAAATTCTCAGATTCAATCGAAATTCTTATTCGTTATTAAATTAATATTTTACTGAATAGGTTATTTTATTGAAAAAAAAACTTTTTTTTTGTTTTTTTTTGTTTTTTTGTTTTTTTGGCTTCTCGATATCGCTTGTGTACTTTAATTTATGCAATATCGAATATGAAGATATGGAAATTCAGTCGGCATCTTGACAAAAACAATTCAATAAAACACAAAACTTAATTTTTTTTTTAATTACTTGTAATTAATCGCGTTGCTGTTCGTTACAAGGGTTTCTTTTATTTAAATAAAGATATACCTGAAGATTTAAAAATGTAAAGTTTAATGTCATTTTTGAGTGTGAAAGTTTTTTTGGTCTTTTTATTTTTTCATTTTAGCAACTATTAAATTATATTTTGGGTAAGGATGTTCAAAAAGCAAATAATTCTGATATCTCGCGTTGACTGACTGCTATTCAATCTCAGAGGACTAATCTAATTTCATATCTCCCGTAAAGTCAGTATAAAAAAATAAAATTTTTCATTATACTAAGTTTAATATAAATATATAGAATAAAAAATTATATTCCTAATCTTAAACAATTGGTTATATAAGTTTAAAGAAAATTTAGTTTTAAACATAAATAACAAATTCTAGATTATCGCACTGTTTATCTTCCGTACTTCTGTAGGGCTTATTTTTATTTTTTTCTCGTGCTTTTTCAGACAAGGATAGAATTATAGTCTTTCTAATTGGCCTTTGACCACATAGACTAACGTGTGTAAAGAAAACCTTATTTTCATTGTGTTTTAAGTAAGGTAAGCATTACTTTTAGAAAATCCAGTTAATCTTTAACTAATAGACTTCAAAACACAGAGAATTTTAAATCTGTTCTTTTTTTCCTATACAATGGCGACGCGATGAGTCAATGATTGACGAAAAAGTAAAAACCTAATGCTTTAAAAATGCTTGAAAAGTTTATTTATATATGGAAATTAATTTTCATTTAATTCGGATTATCTTTAGGCCATTATCTTTCAAATGAAAGTGAAATCAAAGAAAACATTTAAAATGTGTTTTTCGTATTTTTTTTTTTTTTTAAAGTCCGTGGCGGCACCTAGCAAATAATGATAACTTATCATACCAGATATTCAGTCAGACATCAAACAATGTCGCTAAATTATTTTATTCAAGAGTTCTTTTAACGTAACACTTTTGACCATTTTTGAAATTTTAAGATAAACTCAAAACATAAAAAATAGATTAGATCTGTTTTAAATATTTAAATAATAATTTAAAACTCAATATATTTAAAATTTAAACTTTGGTTGTTTTTGTCTCTTTTTAGTAGGAACTACTGACATTGCAAGATCACCAAAAAGATTTGGTTCAAATTACTATTAGGTGTCTAATACCGAAAGGGGTTTTAATAGCCGGGGAGGAGGTCAAAATATTTCTCAGTATGTAATGAACAGGAGTTTTAGGAAGAGGAGGGGGTCAGAAAATCATTTAATGGGTCAAAAAGCAAGAAATTAACTCAATAAGCTCCGGGATCAGAAAATCCCCCTAGCTAAAAAAAAAATAAAACAAAAAACATTTGCACCTAATAAACAGGTAGCTAATAAAGTGGATATTTCGAACCAAGAAATTGTCTTTTTCTTAATGGTTATCGATGTACATGTAAAATTGATCATATAAAGGAAATAGCTTAAAATATTAGAAATATTATTAAATGTTTTTCTTATATTTTTTGTTTATTGCAGATATTCAAGAACGCCAATTGTTAAGTTCATGGCTCACTTGATTTCACATATATACCTCCTCATCCTTTTTTACATCACCGTCGTGCAGCCTCTGTATCCTATATCCGAATATCCTCGACTCGTCCCCTACTGGTATGAATGGTTACTCCTTGCCTGGATAACAGGCGTCCTCATTTCTGAGATAACCAATCCTGCCGACCGGTCAGGCCTCGGCTGGATTCGGATCATAACCCTGGTCATCTGCAGTGCAGCATTCCTCGTTCATCTTCTCGCCATTATTCAGCGTCTCGCTGATACCGAACTTAGCCTTTACCTTTACATACGAAACCAATTTCTAGCATTCTCAATGCTGCTCAGCTATGTCCAGTTATTGGAGTTCTTCTCATTTCATCATCTCTTCGGTCCTTGGGGTGTTATCATCCATGACCTTATCAAAGATTTGATTAAATTTTTAGTCATTTTGTTCTTATCCGTAATTGGGTTCGCTTTTCATTTGTCAGCCGTACAGCAACCCGTTTTCAAAAACACGCGAACCAATCAAATCAGTCGGAATTCAAACGCGGGTAATATTTTTGGTCTCTTATTCTTTTCTCTCTTCGGCATGGCAGACCGTGAAAATTTTCCTTTAATGGAAACAACTCCAGACTGGGCTCCTATTATTGTAGATGTCATTTTTGGTGTATATTTAATGGTCACGCTTATCGTACTAATCAATCTGCTCATAGCTATGATGTCAGACACATACCAACGGATACAAAGCCAATCAGACACAGAGTGGAAATTTGGACGAGCCAAACTGATTCGCAATATGAACAAGCAGTCAGCATCACCTCCACCATTGAATTTGTGCACAATGTTAGCAACCTACACTTGGGCTTTCTACAAACATCGATGTAAGTACAATCAGCAAACATCGCAATTCCCGATGTATCGATCGACAAATTTCAGTATTTCTTTAGTTGAAATTGTTGTTTATATACCGGGTGTAACAGCATGAGATAAATGTCCATCATACAAAATGTTTAATATCTTAAAACCCACTAAACTTATTGAGTTTTTCCAGATTTTAAGCCATCTTGACGCCATTTGTCGTAAGAATCACTGAGTTATTCAGCTAGAATTGCGTGAGCCCCACTGTCTTTCCAACAATGGTGAGGGATAAAAAGATCATGCAAGCCTTCATTAATGGTACCAACATTCATACTCTGGCTTCCATCTTCAAAGTCCTTTCAAGAACCATCAAGAGAACGCTGAATAAGTTTAAAAAAGGAACAGTAGAGAGGAAAACTGGATCAAAAGATCACATCAACAAGAGGGATCATCATTTCAACTTAGAGCGAAATACATTTTTATTGTTCAAAGTAGTGTTATAAAAACCTGGATGAATTCCAGTAAGATATCTTTAATCATTTCTAAGACACAACAATTCAAAGCTCTAACAATTGGACAATTTTACTGTTACACCCGGTATATAACAATACACATATAAAACACAATGTGCATCTATATTTGTAAATATAAAACATAAAACGCTTACTCCGCATAGTTGCTGACTGCGCATCAACATGAGATTTTCTCATGTTAATTTTATGCGCTTACACTATCATGCTGGATCAAGGCATGTTGGAATAGAGCGTTTTTCATTCAGTAAGTTACCAATTCTTTCTGCGGTAGACTGGATTCCAACTAAGGCTAGGGAACTCACTCTGTCCGGCTATTAAACCCATAGCTGGGAGGGGAGAAAAGACGGATTCATATCTTTCCCAAGGGTTTTTTGTGCCTAAGTGAATGTAATGAACTTGACTAGCACCTCATTGTAATGTAATGGTCAGTCATGTAGTAATTTCCATCCTCATAAGGTGCCCCGTACTTGTGGTGTGTGTGAGGGTGTCTGTGTAATAAATTTAAGCTTCTTCTTATTATTATTATCATTATTCTATGTACCGTGTATCTTCAAGACGTGAATGATCATAGCTCTCCACATTTTCCTTTGTAGCTCTTAGTAAAGTTAATTTTTGCTCTCGCTCCTAAGCCCAGATCAAGAGAGAAAAAATCTTGGAAATTTTCTAGCTTAGATTTGAATGTTCAAAATTCAAATTCAAAATGACTCCCACCTCACACTATTTTAGTCACGGGTCCAGCAAAGTAGATGTTTCTCTCTCTCTCTCTCTCTCTCTCTCTCTCTATCTCTCTCTCTCTCTGTGCGCGCGTCTCTGTGTGTATGCCATTGTACGTATCTGCACGACCTTTGCCGATCAGCAGCAGCCTGAGGCTCTCATCGTCCAATGACGATCTACATCCAGAATGCGTTGCGTTAACCTACGAACCGACATGTTGTTAGGTACACGCATGTTACCTTTTCTTTTCCTCATTGTGACGTGAAGCATGCATCAAACGGCTTTCCCTAAACCTCCACCTCAATTCGGATAGATGCACTCTACTCCACTTCTTCGGTATCCACTGGCACAACTCATGGATGCTTCCATTCATACCTGCATACAGCTCTTTACATTAACCCTAGCCTAGGCGACATGCTGTACGAAAAGACCGCTTCAACTGGCGATACGTATCCTCTTTCAGCCATTGCTTTGATAATGTGCCACATTGATAACCAGACTTGTCTACTCGTGTTTCACCTGAGCCTCAACCACCTTATGCACACTCGGTGCAAAATCACTCGACTGGTATATGTCGCAACTCATCACTTTCCAAACAGCTTTCTTTGTGAATGGGGGTTGATTTTTCTGGCCCTAAACTGTGTTCTGTCCACTCTATATGGTCGCTGTCAAACAATTCTTCCAATCCCATGTCTCCCAAATAATATACAACGGCTACTCTCCTCTATGAAGCTTCCTGTGCCCTTGACGAGATTTTCCTTATTTTGGATATAATATTTGCCTTTTCTGAGGGCAAAAAGTCAGATCGTCCCAAATTCCCAGACAATGCTTAATGAACATTTCAGTAGCTCTTTTCGTTCGTAGCCCAACCCCGTTGGTAATGACTATCAACTTCATCCACCCGAGTACGATAGCTGAATCAGTCCCCAAGACCAAGTTAATGCACTTTAATTCGTCTACATTAATATGGTTACAATCCTTCATTTTGCTTACCAAGCCGCATCATCTGTTTCAGCATCATCTAATCTAAAATAACGCCCAATCACAACATTAGTAGCAACACACCCTATGACCCTCTCTCTCTCTCTCTCTCTCCCTCCCTCTCTCCGTTTGAGACACGTGCCATTTCACATATTTCGTATTTCTCCTCATCGCAAATGTTCCTTCACCAACCTTATCTTCCCACTTTACTTCATCGGCTCTTCTGTTAACATAGCAAGACGCCATTTGGTGCCAACCTGCAATAGGAAAGTGTCCTGACAATCTTGCACATTTTTCATTCTCGGGGTCACATTTTCCCCATCAAAATCCAGTCTGTCTTTGTCCAGTCTGAACATCAATGCTGCCCACTTCCAATGGTTCTGACGTTTTCACAGTCAACCCAAATTTATTCGCGTGGCCTCTGACCTCTATTACTGATGCTACCCCTATCTCCCCCTAGAATGTCATCGAAGAAGAAGCAAGTTACTTTTCTCGCTCTTTTCACGCTCTCCTGTATCTTCCTGGGGATTACTGTCATGATCTCTAGCGCATGGTATCACTCAAATCTTTGTCTGGTCTGACAGTAAATTCTGCCATTGTCATCAGCTAATACTTCCATAACTTATATACGAAGCTGTAGATAAGCTGATTTCAAGTCTACGACTGTACAAAATCTCCTTATCTGCCACCACTTCCTCAAAGTCTATCCACATGAGTAAAAAGAGAAAGATAATCGAAAGTAATCTTTCTAGAAGACAATATATTTGTATTGTCGACATAAGCAAAACTTTTCAGATAATCTATTCATGATTATTATTCCATTAATTATTCTGCCTTCTTCTTTGTCGTCCTGGGTAAGACATTAAACTACATCCACGTCCTGGGTAAGACGTTAAACTACGTCCAGCAGCAAGGTCTCTGATCAGGAGGTTTTGAGGAGCATGGAACCACCTCTTAATTGCTGGTGTTCCCAGGTCCACCCTGACCCAGGGTTGTAGCACCTGTTAGGGTCCCAGCTATGGGCAAATAGTTAACTATTACCAGCCATACTTTATGAAGGAAATATATTACCAGAAACAGATTTTTGACAAAACAAAATATTATCAGCAATAAAAATTCTTGTCAGCATTAAATAACCCATTGCGGTTGATATGCCGTAGTAAAACAAAATAAACCAAACCAATCTAAACTAAAAAGAATACATATTCTATTCATACGAATTTATCCTAAAAATGTTGTCGGCATTAAATAACCCATTGAGGTTGATATGCCGGAAAACAAAATAGATCAACCCAATCTAAACCAAAGAATACATATTCTATTCATACAAATCTATTCTAAAAATGTTGTCGGCATTAAATAACCTATTGAGGTTGATATGCCATAAAACAAAACAGACCAAACCAAACTTCATCTTTGTTGATTTTTATTAAAACTGCAAAGATAGGAATGCAAATCTAAAAAAAAAAAAAAATTATTGACATTTTTCTATCTCAAAACTTTAATCTTCACATAAAATATTTTTGCTATTTTTTTGTCTCCTTCACAATTAATTTCTTGTTTTCACAATTAATTAATTTTCTGTCATTTTCACAATTAATTAATTTTCTCAACCATAACAATTAATTAATTTTTCTTTCACCTTTACAATTAATTAATTTTTTCTCATTTTCACAATTTATTAATTTTCTGACACCATCACAACTAATTACTGCAGCTTCAATACATGCATATAAGGTTGGATCAATAAATCTAGAGCCCTACATAATTATTGAATTTTAATTTGAAATTTTCACTGCACATATTCAATTAATGTGATTAATGAAAAAGTAAAAGTTTAATTGCTTTGACAAAATGGGGATTATGTTTTAAAATATTTGTAGTGTAAAATAAGGGCATTTTTATTTATTATTAGATCATGCATTTACACATATACTTACATAGAGTTCTCTTTACTTACATATAAGTCATATAATAAATTCCTATTCTATAGAGATGTGCAGGTGGTGTAATAGATAACAGCTCAGTATGAGAAATCAGAGAGCCAAGTTCAAATTCAAAGTCAGGCTTGTTACATTCATTTATGCCCACATACCCCTGAGAAATGTATGAATCCATCTACCGTCCCACCAGCTATGGGTTAAAGAGTAGGACTTGTATTTGGAAAATTCAAAATATATTTTGAGTTTAAGTGATCTGTAAAGAACTGATAAACCATAAAAATAAATAAATAAATCAACAATTGTATGAGGTTATAATTTAATTTCAGGTAAAATATGTACATTAAATGTGGATCCGTTCATTAAAGGCCAGAATTTTGAGGAAAACAGCACTCACTCTCCAAATGATACGCCTTACAGTCAAAAATGGAAGAATAACAAAATATCACCAGAAGGTATGTTTTACTCTTAAGCAAGAAATAGATAAATATTAAAATAGATAGATAGATAGATAGATAGATAGATAGAAGCAAAATTTTGTTTTAATTTCAAAACTTTGTAAATGAGAGAAAAAATAATAATTAAGTGCATTTCAGCAATATGACTGCAAATTCTCCCCTACATATCAGGTCTTATGATCAATATTTAAACTTTCTAAACTATAAATACATTCAATTCTGAGTTTGAGTTTTGTGTTGAATGTAATATTAAAATATTAACTTATATTGTTCTAACTTTTTTTTCTTTTAAATAAATGGATTTAGGTCATCTTGACTTTGTCAGACATTAAATAGAATTTAAATTTCACACAAGTGGATTAAATATTGTTTTTCTAATTATGAAATACTAATTCCCACTAAATTGTCATTTGTGGTTGTTTTTTTTAAATTAGCTGTAAATAGAGAATATATTCTCAAAGTTTAATTCAAATTGGATAATTTCATATTCCATTATCAATGTTCCTTTTGTCTGAATTTGTAAATGAGAAATGATCTTTATTTATAAATTGATCTCATCTGACCATTATCCTCATCTTGGTTTTTATAGTCATAACATTTTTAACATGGTACTTTTTTCAAGTTTCTGTTGCATTTGACAAACTTTTGGTTATTTTCAATTGAATTCTTCATTCAATACAGAGGAGCAGATTTTTTGCAATTCCTTTATCCATGTTAAAAAATATAATCTCATATCAATGAATTCTTTTTACTAAATATGACTTTCTGTACTACCTTTTTGCTTCTTCCCACTGAACTAGAATTTATGACTTTTCCTCAGTATCTGTCTATATTTCTGAGATGAGGTATTATGTATACTATTTACATTATTTGGACTATTGTACTCAACTTTGTTGCTATGGCACAGTAGATAAAAGCGTTGGTTAGATCCAGTGACAGGACCCAAAGAGACTGATTAAGGCAGTGGAGAACTTGGAGAGGGGAACTAACAGGAGATAATTGATAACGGACATCCATTAAAAACATGGCACGTGGAACTAGAACAGTCTACCACAGTGAGCGAAATAACGGGTTCAGTTCAACATTCTAATCACATGAAAAAGGCCGGAGTGTACAATGGCAGAAACATTGTAATAAATATGGTGACAAAGATGAGGACAATAGTCCAAATAATGTAAATAATGACTTTTTCTTTTTGAATTATGGATGGAAACTACAATGTCCAGGTAATGAGATATGCACATATCCAATGCCTTTATTGATGAGACCATCAGATATGCACTTATCCAATGCCTTTATTGAATGTACACAAGTGACAGATTCCGTTAACAAGTGGGCAGTTTGTGTCAGATATGTACATATCCAATGCCTTTATTGATGAGGCCATGAGATATGTACTTGATATCCAATGCCTTTATTCACTGTACACAAGTGACAGATTCTGTTAACAAGTGGGCAGTTTGTGTACCAAATCTAATAATGTCTAGTCAGCAAAAAGAAGAAATCCTGGTGAATTCATGCTGAAATATAATACAACAATTTAATTATGTTGCTGTTGTTGTTGTTATTCTGCATTTGAAGCAAATTGTGAATAAAAACTGCTTCTTTTCTTTATTCAGTTGGCCGTATTGAAGATGTTGTGGACTGGCAGCACATATGTCAAAAATATTGTAACCTACGAGGAACAACAGATATGACAGAAAATGACACAACTAACAACAAATCAGGCAATAAAATGGAAACTCAAAGTAACTCATCATAAAAGACTAGAACATACATCCATTTCCTTCTCCAGCTATGGGTTAAATATTAGGGCTTATTGCTGGAAAATCATTTTTATTCTCCAAAAATTGTTAATACAATATTCACTCACAAAAAATTATCCTTACAATCAAAAATTTGTTTTGTCTCTAAATAAACAACAAAGGGTTGATAAGCAACAAAACAAGTCAATGAATCAAAAAAAAGCACACACACACACACACACACAAACACATACACACAGACAGATTTATATAACCTCTAGATTATAATTGAAAATTAAATGGTGTATATGGTATATATATATATATATATATATATATATATATATATATATATATATATATAAATGTGGGGGAGAAAATAAGAAAAATACAGAGTTTCCTCAAAAGATATTGTTTTTCATAATAGCAATTATGGTTATTATATGAAAATTAAACATTTCCATCAGAAGAAATGTTATAACAAACATTGGGTAACATATCTTATAATACCCATGTATAAAATATTATATATATATATATATATATATATATATATATATATATATATATAAGTTCCAATACATACATAAGTATTCACATTATTTTTGAAAGGTAATATGTTAGTAATCTTCAGGCCATGGAGATTGCATTGAAGCAGGAAACAGATTGTCACCACTTGATATTGATCTGTGTCCACTTTTATATTTTAACATAACTTTATTGCAGGATTTTATGATGTTTGGGTAAAAATAAGTCACTACTTTGTTGTGCAATTTTACACCATTGATACAAGTGTGTGAACATTTTATAGGAGATCTTAAAGAACTCCTTGAACATTTGTCCTGCAAACAATATTAGCAGGCTCATATGAGTTCAGGTATAACAGAACACAGAATTGAAAACAAATGACTATGTATGTTATTAATGAAAGGAATTACACGTGTAGACAATTCAAATGAAAGGAAAAGACATTGAAACTAGCTATAAGAATGTGCTTCTTTTTTTTTTTTGTGTGTGTGTGTGTGTGTGTGTGTGTGACAAGCATGTGTGATACACATGTTTGTTTCTGTGTAGGGGAGGGGGATTCCAAAGTCAACAGAAAACCAAGGAACAAATGTACCCCCCCCCCTGGCAATGTTCTTTATCTACTTGCGACTTCATCTGGAAGGAAGAGGAAAAAAAAGAAAAACACAGAATATGGTTGTCTTTCTATACACTTAAATAACACCACCGAATGCGTGCTTTTGGTAAACCCACACCTTAAAGCAATGTTTTTATCATATATAAAATAGTAATAAAGTAATAATCTTATAATTACTAAATGCAATATCATTTAAATGTATTCATTTAAGACTTTATATTTTAATGTTTTAATCATACAATGAAAACTTTAATTACTTTCAAATATTAAATGCATCTACCATAAACAAACTGTGTATATATTTTTTATGGCAATGCTAATTATAAATATTTTAAAATAAAATATATCTAGATTTCATTTTTAGCTGATATCATGAAAATATTATTTGTTTTCCATAATAATCACAGTTACTATATTTGCATATCAATGTACATACCAGAAATTGCTTACAACAGAGGTAATATCAAATTATTCCATGATCTCTAGTCAATCATTAAAACACCATGATGTGTTTTTCCATGACAATTCAGGGATTGGCTTGATACTCACAACTAAAATAACATGCAACAAATCCTAACCATAACTTATATTTTGTGTTATTTTCGATAGAAAACTTTTCAATCAACCTCATTAACAGTTTTTTACAGATTTATTGGCTTTTTTCGCAAGAGCATGGTCGTTCAATCCTGATGTAGCTTTTTCACATGTAAAAAGGGAAGTAACATGACATTGACCATCTGCAACGTGACAGACAATTCCAATAATAAAATAGAATCCCTAACCTGATTGTAAACTGTCTAGATGTCAATAACAATTCTTTAGTTAAGATGAAAGTTGCTTGAACAGAGTACGTTGATTTATCAAGTGTCAGAGTAATACAGTCTCAAGCAGAATTCAATTTTGGTTCACCAATTCTGTTTTCCAATTAAAGAAAACAAATATTAAACATCATACAAAACTGAATATTTCATCATGACTGCCTGTTAGAAATAGTAAAACAATTAATTTTTGTACAAAATGGAGACAAATTAATAAATAATAAACTAATTCTTCCTTCCTTATGCTTTTTTTCCTTCCTTTCTTTTTCTATTTGTTCTTTCAGTGCATGTACACATGTATGTGTGAATGTGGATGTGTAATGTGCATATATATATATAAGAAAAGAAATATGCAAATATGTATAGCTGTATATGTCACTGTCTGAAAGACATTTAGTATCATATTTGAAAAATCAATGGCAGTAAACCTTTGAGTGGATTGGATTTCAACTGAATGATTAATTATACATATGTGTGTGTGTGTGTATTTTAAAAAAGAGAAACTGCAAACATTTTGGTTATAATTTGGGTTTGTTTTAGTGTATATATTATATTTTATTTGTCATTTTTTGCTACACGGGTTTTTGGTCTTGTGACCTTCTTCAGGCAAATTAAAGGAACCAATTTTTAAAGGAATAAATTTCCTTATGTTCTTTTAATGCTTCATTATTCATTTTCTGTATTTGTAGTGAGCCTTGATCATATTTTTGGACTGTTGGCAAAAGTGAATTTCTACCTAAGTGGTAATAAAATCATTAGGTTTGGTCTTAGTGGTGGCGATGACAGATGTGTTGATGATAGATGCCCCCCCCATCCCCACTGTGACTGTCAAATCTATTTCTAATTTTATGTATTGTGTATGCATGCATGTCCCTGCTAGCTTGCACATGAATCAGCATACACACACACACACACACACACACACACACATCTATCCAACCAAATATATATATATATATATATATATATATATAAAACTAAAACAAATTCATTATAAACAAAACCATTTGCAGTCTCTCTTTTTTTAAAATATACATCTTTCTCTCGTTGGAACAATTATAACCTTTTCCATGTATATATATATATATATATATATATATAATTTATTCAAAAATCATAACATAAATATGTTATAAAATAACCATTTTGTTCCAACACTTCTGGTGTCTTATCAAGTGATTGTGTTGAATGTAGAATAAAGTGTTTTAAAAGGTTCAAATTGACCAAATAACCCTCGATAGGGAAACTACTCTGTATTGAGCACTTTTTTTTTGGAATAGTATTTGTTGTTTATTGGAATTTATTCCATATACACAATCCTATACTTGGATATATATATATATATATATATATATATATATATATATATATATATAAAATAATAAGAAAGAACAGTAAGATTTATAATCTGGTGTTCTTAGTTATTATTTTTAAAAATCAGTGCTCAATACAAAAAGTTGAGCAAAATATTATAATTTTTTTATTTTTTTTGTGGAATCATATTTTTAAAAAGAAAATAATTATAATATATATATATATATATATATATATACACATATACAGGTAAGATGAGAATGAATAGAGTACAATTCCAACGTCCATAACATTTAATTTAAAAGAGGGCTCAATAAAAAGTAAAGCAATATTCTTTATTTTAGGATATTACATCGAAAACATGTCAGAATTGCTACACAATTGCAGTCATGTTTCAATGCATATCAAATGCATCTCATCAGGTAACTGTAAATTAAGATGGTTCAGGTTCATTGTGAAATTTTGAGTTTTTGAACATCAGACTCTCTTTAAATCAAAAATACTTTGATCTCCTGATGAGTGGAAATTTCAATACACTCCGAGGGGAAAAAATATCATTTTATTTATTATTATTATTATTTTTATTTTATTTCCTTTGATTTCTGGTGTGTTCTCATTTCCTTTCAGGTCCCAACCAGAGACCTAAGGTCAGAAATGGCATCATGACATTTTCCACTGAGCAACTTAAAAAAAAACACACATATTTTACATAGATAAATCCTTTCATAAGATGTGGGATGTACTCATGAGAACAATTTTTTGTATTTCTTTAAGGCAATCCCTTCAATGAGTCTATTAGAATCTTTTTCCAATCAATCTGAGGGCTCCAATTACAACAGGAATCATTGATGTTCTCATGTGTCACATTTTTGAGATTTCAATTTCAAGGGCCTTGTATTTTGATAGCTTTTCGAAGATCTTCAGAGATACATTGCAGTCTGCAGGGACTGTCATATTAATAAGGAGGCACTTTTTGTTGTGGTGGTGGTGGTATTATTATTATTAATGCTCTATCCACTGTAATTACAAAAACATTATCATCATGAAATACCCTTGTTGACTTTTAGTGTGACAAATTCACCTTCAGTTTGTCAAAGTCTTATATTCAAATTATGTCATTACTAATTGAATAATCTTTTACAATAATGTTAATTATTAATTATTGTAAATATTATAAAGATGTCTGCCAATTTGTCTCTCTCTCACTCACTCACACACATACATGCACACATATTAAAAATACATACACACTTGCTTCCACAACAGTTTGTAATTTTACCTATTTGTCAAAATGATTGTAAAAAATACACAGTATTTTAGAAGAAATGAAAGATTATAAAAGCAGCTTGTATTTTATATGTTATGGAATTTGAATAAATCCATTTATTTAATTGTATTCATATTAAAAATCAACAGAAAAATCTATGCTAATGGTTTTTATTTTCTTTTTTGTCACTTGAAAAGTCCAATGTACATTTTTGATTGTATATATAAGGTAAATAAACTTTCATAACAGCAAATCTAAGATGATTTTTCTTTTTATTGTTATTATTTTCTTGAATTTAATATAAAATACCTACACTGGTGTGCTAAAATATTTAATGCTTTTACACAATATGATGAAATTTGAGTTTTAATATTTTAAAAATGTGTTTAGCTGAATTCCGAGAGTTACCTCCCTTGCCAATCAAGTAATATTCCAATTCCACATTAAACTTAAAAAGGAAATTCTGCCATATATCAA